ATGTTGTACTTTAATACAAGCAGTCAGATACTGTATATAAACTGTACCTTTTAAAACTCAAGTACATGCACAGAACAACACAATCATTTATAGCAAAAAAACTAATTTAAATATCCTGCTCGCTGCAGGAGTCTTGTCTAGCAAGTTCTTACACCCCTGTGATTGATCAGGTGCTTAACAGCAAGGGCTGCAATTGGCTCTAATGCTCTGACGCTGTTCACCGATGAGTGGCACTGATAAACGGCAGAGGCGATCACAACTAATCCATGATAGATGCGGTGGAAAAAACTCTGCAGACACACGCTTGTGTCTGTATTTAGAAGTATCGCTGTAACAGCCGAGAGGAGAGGCAAAGTCACGCCAGCAGGTCAAAGGACCACAGTGAGATTGCGGTGCACCAAAGAAACAATTCATTTTGACACCCCTATTAAACAGATAAATTACTTTCGAAGTCGATCTCTCTCTTTTGTATGTTGTTGTGCTTTATTTATACCATAGTAATATTGTGATCTCCCAACTGCAATTGACTGTTGGCATTTCATGACGTTCAGTGTTATAATATTAAAATGTGAGCAAAATCAGCTGTTTTGTCATCACTTTATACATTACGCTAGAAAATCATTAAAACACTAGCTCTGAAAAGTGACGTTGGTGAATTAGCAACAGCTTCTGCTGTTCTGACATCAGCTGCAGATGTGAATGATTGGCAGAAGAAAGTAGTTCCTAAAACAAAAGGGTTTTGACAATGTGTTTGATTTTCTTTTTTATACACAATTATGTCGTCGAACTGTAAACGCAATATCACACTCATAGCAGTGTGATGTGGCTGTATATTATCACTGGTGGGACACTAAGCACGCCTCCCACCAATGCCGATATACAGCCACATAGCACTGCTACTCATGTGATATTGCTCGTATATAAGGATATGTGACTATCAATTTTAATAAAATAAAATTCTTGTTCTGACAAATGGGTAAAACAAAGAAAAGTGGTTTTAAAATGAATACTTTATTACAATTTTATCATTAAACATGCTAATGTGTCATCCTATGAGTCTAAATATAAGATGTTTTATTATATTTATTTCAACGCATCATTGCACTAAATAACTTTTAGTGAGTTTGCTTATTAAACTCATACAGATCTACATAATTTATTATAATTATTTGTTTTCTTATAACATTTTTTATATTTTATTTTGAAATTATGGGAACACAAAAAAATAAGACGTAGATGATATATATAGCATATAACTGTGAGCATTAAACACAATACAAGAATACATGAGGTTGTTACAGGCCTGGCAATATGGAGAGGAAAAAGGGGGCAATGATCTCTCAGAAAGAATTGGAATTCACCCAAAACTGAAAATCCTTTCTATCAATCCTTTCTGAAAATCATTCTAGTCATTCTAACCTTCAGAACACAAATTTACCTATTTTTTTATTATGAAAAAGCAACTAAATTATGAAAATTGTGAAACAATAGTCCAGAGATTAGGTCCCCGCAACAGGTCAGAGTGTACCCGTATTCTCCCAAAATCAGTCACCGGATCTTGACCCCTTCTATGGAATTAAAACAGCCCCTCAGTTTTGACATCCTGGCACCGTTGTTAGATAATAATATTAATAATAACAATACCAACAACAAAAATAATAGTGAAAATAAAAAGGATAAACTAAAGAATAAATGACAGAGGTATCCGAAAAATTATATAGATAAAACCAGATTCTACACCAAAAAGAGCAATAAACTATACATGTATTAAAGGTTATGCAAGGATAATATTAACCCAGCTCAAAATAAACGATTAAAAGAATAATAATAAACAGATAGATTGAGATATTCGAAATACTTTTTTATTTAAATAAATATACACGCTAGGCTGAATTTATGTATAATTTATGTATAATATTCATATACTAAAATATATAATGAAATACTAAAATAATGTTGGACGCTGCTGAAGTTTCCAAGTTGTTAACATTCTAAGAAACTCTGATTGAAATGAATAACTCTGATTGACACTCTCCCACATATAATACATAAATTCTGCCTCCCTTAAAGGCTGTATAGGTAGTCAGCTCACTAGGTTTTAGAACAGAGCTTTAGATAAGTGCACAAACACAATCAATGCAGAAATGAGAGTCTCAGCTGCTGTACAGGAAGACGACTCATTTCATTCACCATTAACGTCAATCGAATCAAGATGTGACTCAAAAATCTGATCATATGATGTGTGCAACTCTACAAACAGCTGGACGTTGATCACATCACTTCATCTGCTGCTGTGGAGACTAAGAGGTTTTACCTGAAGAATTACAACTATTTTGGCTCACTGGTCATTAACAACATTACTATTATACGTACATGGAGGAGATTCTGATGTATGTGTGTTTATATATTTCAAATATCTGTCTGAATGGGTAACACTTCAGTTTAGGTCACTACTACTGGCTTATTATTAAGATATTAACTGTATATTAGTAGCAATAAAGAATGATCTTATTCCACATACCTAATCCTACCCAATACCTTAACCCAACTGCTACTTATTAATAAGCAGCTAATTAGCAGTTCATTGAGCTAATAGTTTTAGCTAATAGTTTGTTTACAGCCTGATTTGTGACTTAAATGTGTTACTGTCTAAATGTCATTGCATATTAAAACAGCAGATGTGTTGACTTCTTTACACATTTTATAAGCTCTTCACAATATCTCAAAATAATTAAAGAGTGTAAAAAGGATTTTTTTTAAGTAAGTGGTTGCAAACAACTTATAAGAGCTGAATTATTTATCAACCAAATTAAAATTAGTAATGTTCAACTTAACTTGTTTGTTTAAATTAAACATATATAAACTGTTTGCCACAAAGTACCTTAAATCAAATAGTCAGTTTATGCACAAAAAAGCATGTTTACAGTAGCCTAATCCATAACAGTGTTTAGGATGTTTGGAAATTTCACTGCAATATCATTACATTTTTTTGTTTTGTTTCTGACTTAAAAATGGCCAAGTAATCAGGACTAAATGTATGCTTTGTTTTGTTTTTTGATTGTTTGTTATAAAGCACAATTAATAGTTCTGCACTGAGTGTACACTGTTGCTTTTTTCACACTCTAAGAATTGTCATGCACCCGGCACAGTACCCTTATTTACACCATCCCAAAAATGCAACTACAAGATACACATCATACACTTACATTCCTGCCACACTTCCGCATTATAGTTTGAGTGATTTCATTATAAATAATATTGGTTTTAACATTGACTAGCTCCAGCTTTAACATGAGCTGCTCAGTTTCAGCCACCATTGTTTGTAGTAGTCTAAAGGCAAAGAAATGGCACAGTGGGAACATAGAAACTTAGGTTTAGGTAACACTGTTCAATCAGTGCAGAAGTGTAAATTAGCCTTTAATGTCTAAATGACAGTTTATGCTCAAATAATGTTATTTCGCTAGGATGTTGGTTTATCCCATAGCAGCAAATTCATGCAATCTCATGAAATTCATGCATTGCAAAAAATGCTTTTCTTAGAGTTGTTTAGTCCAAATATCAAAAAATTCTTAAGTTAAAAGCATTTTTCAGACAAGTATACATTTCTCTCTTGTTTTAAAAAGTAATATTTCAAAAAATAAGTAAGTTTTTTCTTAAAACCAGCTAAATAATCTACCAATGTGGTCAGCAAAATATTTTTATTTCAAAGCCAAAACAAGAATATTTAGCTGACCCCATTGGCAGATTATGTTAAGGAAACCCTCACTTAACTTTCACTTATTATTTTTTGAAAACAAGAATATGTTTGGCTTGTCTAAATTAAAAAATGCTTCTTAATTTAGGAACTTGTAGATATTTGCACTAGAAACAAGACAAAACCTTAAGTTAACAAAGCATTGTTGCATTGTGAATGATACATACTAACTCATGAAATCTAAATAAAACATTTCTCAAACAGAGATTTACCATACAACATTATCCTAAACTTACAAGAAAAGAGTAAGTAAGAAAATTTAAGTTTTAGTTAAGTAAATTATTTGGGTTACGAGTGTTTAAATCTCAAAGTTGTTGAAAGTTGTACTACTGACTTTCTACAACTCCTGAAGCATCACCATTGTTACTCCGTTATGGAATTGTTGGCAGTTTAGAGATCATCATGGTTACAGCACAGTGGAACATGACATCATAGAAAAAACATAGAAGACAGGTGCTGTGTCCCAATTTGCCTACACTGTAAAAACTGCAGGGTTCCACACAATTCATTTATGTCATCCCAACACAAATAGATTAAGTTAACATAACAAATTTAAGTGTACTAAACATAACACGATTAAGTTTCCCGATAAGATCTCCAGAATTGTGTTGTTAAGTGTACTTTAAATAAGTAGTTTGAACAAGCATCAAAAATATATGTAAGTGTACATTTACATGTCCTACATTCCATAAGTATGTACTTTTTGTAGTTTGTTAACATGTCCAGTGCACAATATATTGTGGGTAATATCATCAGTTAGAGTACGCATGGATCCCCACTTCAAATTTCTTCCAAATATACACTACCTGACAAAAGTCTTGTCGCCTATCTAAGTTTTAGGAACAACAAATAATAACTTGACTTTTAGTTGATGATTTGTTATCAGAAGTGGCCTATATGAAAGGCAAAGGCCTCTAGATCACGCTTATTTTACCTAAATAAAACATGATCATGCCTTGATTTTAAATTATTTCATTAGAACAGTAAGGTCTGATGTTGCTTAGACAAAAGTCTTGTCACTTAACACACGGATCACACTTGTCACTTGGAACACACGAATCCTATTTTCGAATACTATTTAGGATGGACAGTATGTGAATTGGGATGCAGCAAATATAATGCTTCTTACAATCGAATAAAAACACTAGTAATATAGTACCATGTGCGATTTTTGTGATAGCTCTATTGCTGTTGGCTGAAATAAAAATGAGAATATATTTATGCGGTAAACAAGAGTGAAGTGTACCTGTAATATACTAGTTCCTCTGGGAATGTTCTCCAGGACGCTGGTCTCATAGCTGTTCTGGAGAAATATAGGCCTGTTATCATTGACATCCAGCACCTCCACATAGACTGTAGCTGTGCCTGTCCTCCGGCCGCCCGCTGGACCGTTATCTACAGGAAAACCACAACAGCTAATACATGAAACCCTCAGTCAAAATAAAACACAACAGAAAGTTTAATGTTGTCAGTTGATCAGGATACTTGCATAAGGCTTGGTTACAGTTCTTGAGATATTTTAACATACTTTAAACAAAAAACATGTAAGTTTAAGGCACTCGAAAAATCTGTGAAGCAGTTAAAAAGCCTTTATTGGCATGCCTATTATTTATCCATGTCAATAAAGGCCTTTTAACTTTTTCACTTACTTTTTCCCCAGAGTGCCTAGGGTTTAAAATATTTTGTGTATCTTTATGAATCCTTTATCCAAAGAGCACCGACACATCAATTAGCCCTGAAGCACATTTTGTTTGATGACTTATAAGATTAGATTAGATTAGATTCAACTTTATTGTCATTACAAATGTACAAGTACAATGCAACGAAATGCAGTTTAGGTCTAACCAGCAGTGCAATAGCAGCCAGTGCAGGATACAGGAATAAGTTATAAAGTGCAGTTATAGAAAACTATGGTGATATTTACAGATGGATGTACTATGAACATTATATACAGGTTGGATAAGCTATGAACAGATTTACAATATATGAATATATGTGCAGGTTGCTATTAATAATCAGTAGTGTGCAGATAAATAAACATGATTACAAGTGTATATGTTACAATATATGAATATATGTACAGGGATAGATAAACATGATTACAAGTGTATATGTAACAATATATGAATATATGTACAGGTTGCTATTAATAATCAGTAGTATGCAGATAAATAAGCATGATTACAAGTGTATATGTATAGTGGGTGTGTACATAATTACAAATGCCCATATGCAGTGGGTATGCACAGTTCAATGTGGTGCAGTGAATGTGCAAATTTTAAATGTGCAAATGTTAAACAGTGCAGTTATTGCGAGGAGTTTAAGTTAGAGGAGAGTAGGGGGTGTATTGGGGGGGGGCAAAAGAGTCAGTGGGGGGCAAAAGAGTCAGTGTGGGGCAGAGTTCAGGAGGGAGACAGCTCTGGGGAAAAAGCTGTTCCTCAGTCTGCTGGTTCAGCTTTATCCACTTGAAGTCAAAATTATTGTATTTTTTTTTCTTCTTTTTCAAATATTTCCCAAATGATGTTTAATAGAGCAATAAATATTTCATAGTATTTCCAATAATATTTTTTTCTTCTGGGGAAAGTCTTATTTACTTTACTTGGGCTAGAATAAAAGTTTTTAATTTATTATAACTTTAAGGTTTTTTTTTTTAAAAGCATTTTAAGGTCAATATTATTAGAACTCCTAAGCTATATTATTGTCTACAGGACAAACCATCATTATACAATGTCTTGCCTCATTACCCTAGTTAACCTAAATAAGCCTTTAAGAGTGCTTTCACACTTGGTTTAATTGCCTGGACTGAACCCAAGTTCGACTGTCCCCCCCTTGTCACCTTCTCAGCTGGTTTATGTTCACAACGTCTTTTTTTCCTTTCGAACCCTGATACACTTACGTCACCAAGCTGCTCTTTTAGTTAGAGCTGTTGTTAGCTGACAGCAACGAAAGCAAAGCACCAATATGGAGACATCTGCATATCATGATCATTCTGCTTTTACTGAATCTATTGTACTTTATATTCTTATGCATTCTAATATTTATTATATTTGATATCTCCAGGTTTTCCAAAACAATGGAACCCTGATAGCAACATAAAAACACAACACAGCATGTATGATTCACATCTTCACTGGTGTTTCATGGAAATGCTAGTCATCTTTAAATAAACACTATTTGTGGCAAAGCAACAGCACATCACATGTCTGTGCTAAAACTGGTCTCAGCCGCATTTTAAAGACACACAGTAGACAAATACTGGCAGAATTTGCTCACAACATGATAATAGTGTACAATGTATTAAAATGTAGTTGAAAAGGTAATGCAAATTGCTAATGTCATTATAAATAATATAGTTAAAGGGATAGTTTACCCAAGGCCAGTAGCCAAAGGGGGGGGGGGGGGGGGGGGGTGGTTGTATATAACTTGTATATACACAGCATTCTTCATTTAAATTTGTAAGATGAATTGTTGCTGGATAAATATTTTAGAACATAAATTATTTATACAAGGTTACTTATGACTAAAAATATAATGCAAAGGATCAGGAATTTATCACGTGAAAATATATATCATGCAAAAATGCATTAACAGCATTATTAACTTTATCTGTTAAATAAAATATACTCTGAAAACAAACAAACAAGAAAATAGTGAAATACTCTAAAAATATTTTGTAGTCAAATACATTCAATTTTGTTTATTTAATCAAAAGAAAAAATACCTGAAATATGTTTTAGACAAAACGAAGTGTTAAATTTAAGACATTTATTAGTTAAAAAAAATAGGCCTACAGAATTACGTTTTGGAGTATATGAACGAACATTTGTTGTTCTTAACATCCATACAGTATATTTTAGTTTTGTGTCCAATACTGTAGTGCAATCTTGCTTGACTACTTACTTGGCTATTGCTGAAAACTGAAAACAAAATTTTCACGAAAACAAATAGAAATGTAGGTCATTTTGTATTGATGTACATTGCATGTGCAGTGTAGTTAATCACGTGAACTAAAACAGGTAGTAGTAATGAATACTTTCTACTTAAATACATATTTCAAACCATACTTTTTTACTTTTACTTGAGTTGAAAAGTATAGTCAATACTTCAACTTTTACAGAGTCTCTGTAGTTCTACTTGAGTAAAGGATGTGTGTGCTTTTGCCTTTCTGCCTATTTTGACTGCTACACCATAATAAATTGTAAAAATAGCCCATAAAAAAGGCTTTAAGACCAAGCGGAATCATGTGTTGGCTGTTGGTACAGAATTTGGGACACCGAATTTAGCACACCGTGACTTCCCGTTCAGAGTCACGCTGTGCCAAATTCGGCGTCACCAAATTCTGACTGAGGAAAGTTGAATGTTGGCCAGCACATTCAACTTTCATCGGTTAGTATTTAGTGACGGTTTGATATTTGACAATAGGCTAAATGAAAATATTCATATTTCTTTATTCTAAATCTTTAGAAAATGTTTTTGGTACAACAAAAAGTGTGGTTATGATGGCCATCCAACAAGATAATCCAGCAAAAAATTGTGCTTAAAAAGTCACTAAAATGCAGTATTTAAACCCCATAATCATTTAGAAAATAAGGCAAATTTACTCAGCCAGCACTTTAAGAGTTTCATTTTTTATGTTGAACACAAAAGAAGATATTTTGAATAATGTTGAAAACCTGTAACCATTGACTTCCATTGAAGAAAGTCAGTGGTTACAGGTTTTCGGCTTTCTTCAAAGTGTCATCTTTTATTGTCAACAGAAGAAATACAGTCTTAAAAGTTTGAAACCACTTGAGTGTGAGTAAATAATGAGTTAGCTTTCATTTTTTGGACAAACTATCCCTTTAAATCTATATTTTTTATGTAAACTGACTTGTAAGAGGGTTTTTGTGTGAAACTCTGTAAATATTGTAAGATTTCTGCTTCAGTCATAATTAAAAGCTCATAAAATAAGCATAATAATAAACCTGACCTAATATTTCTTATCACTGAAAAACATGGGCAGCATATTTCACAGAAGCTGATTAAACTGGTATTAAAACAGCTGCTGTATTTCTGAAGGCTGCATAACGTAACAGGAAACCACAACAACGTGTTTCAACTACATGACATGCAGACAGGAAGCTGCAAAAAGATTGTACCACATGTGCACAACCATATGCATAACCATTTGTTTTACCATCTATAGGAAACTTACCGATGGCTTCGATCACTAGCCTGTACGAGGCCTGAGTCTCGCGGTCCAGGCCCACCACGGTTCGCACCACACCAGTGCGGAAGCCAACACTGAACTTTCCATCCTGGTTCCCTGCTATTGGGGCACAAAAAACACAAGTTCAGCTATCACTGAAACAAACCTCAGTGCAGTAACTTTGAATGTTTGAACTTTGAATAATTATGTGGTAATAAATAAGCATTAATACATAGAATATACGAATGTTTGATAAAATTATGACTATATTTTTTTAAGAATCTTAAAAATATTAATATAATGCTATTGAAATTATTTATTTATATAGCACATTTAATACACAATGGTAATTCAAAGTGCTTTACACTGCCTGACAAAAGCCTTGTCGCCTATCCTAGTTTTAGCAACAACAAATAATAACTTCTGTGGCTTCTGTAAATAATGGCTTCTGGTAGATTACGCTTATTTTACCAAAAGAAATTATGACCATGCCTTGATTTTTCATTATTTAATTAGGACAGTAAGGTCTTTGCACTTAACAGAAATAATGTCCAGTATAGAATATAAAGTCATGGTGCAGTGGAAAAAGAACTGATATTGTGTATGACTCCCATGAGCTTGGAGGACTGCATCCATACATCTCTGCAATGCCTCAAATAACTTATTAATAAAGTCATCTGGAATGGCAAAGAACATGTTCTTGCAGGACTTCCAGAGATTAATGCCTCCATCTTACCCCAGACATGCTCAATAACGTTCATCTCTGATGACAGGGCTGGCCAATCTAGGAACATCTTGACCTTTGCTTTGCAGGCTGAAGTATGAGCAGTGCTATCCTGATGAAGAAATTGCCCTCTCCTGTGAATTGTAATGTAATAGGCAGCACAAATGTCTTGATACCTCAGGCTGTTGATGTTGCCATCCACTCTGCAGATCTCTTGCATGCCCCTATACTGAATGCAACCCCAAACCATGATTTTTCCTTCACCAAACTTGACTGACTTCTGTGTGAATCTTGGGTCCATGCGAGTTCCAGTAGGTCTTCTGCAGTATTTGTGATGATTGGGATGCAGTTTAACAGATGATTCATCGGAAAAATCTACCTATTGACACTTTTCCAAATGATCAACTAGAAGTCAAGTTATTATTTGTTGCTTTTACAACTGAGATTGCTTACAAAACTTATCAAGTAGTGTACATGAACAGGATTTAAAGAAGGGTCTGAGGCCCGGTGGTTGAGGACCACTGATTTACAGTACATGACTGGACCAAGTCTGGTTTCCAGACAAAAGCCAAACATGGAACATATCTGGGCCAAGTCTCAGATATGTTGGTGTGCAATGAAATTAATAAACCCATGAAGCATTGTGCTTTAGGTGGTCTTTGGACATGCATTTTCTTACAGCGATTGGATTGGTAGAATTTTTTTTTTTACTCAAAAACAATTTAAATGTTGGTCAAGATTTGGTCAAAACCAAACTTACATGGCCCACATATTAAATTCTAACATCTAGGCCACATGCTACATCTGACATCTGGCCCAAGCCTTGTGTGCTGCCATAAAGACAGATATTATTATATTATATTATATTATATTATATTATATTATATTATATTATATTATATTATATTATATCATATTATATTATATTATATTATATTATATTATATTATATTATATTATATTATATTATATTATATTATATTATATTATATTAAAAATGTAGATCTTTAAATGTATATTTTCATTGTTCCTTAATGGTACACAAGGACTCTGGCAAGAGTTACACAAATACTCTGTAAATTTGCTCTCACTCTACTGACACATTTTACTCTGAACGCTGAAAATAGAACAAAAAGAACTATTTTTGAGTAAAAAAAACTATAACTAGTTTTTCTGTGTGCCACCTCTGCCAAACCCGGGCCAACATGCTGTATGCTAGTGCTTGAGGAATGCCTGCTGTGCCAGCTTTATGCCAAATCTGGGCCAGAATTCATTGCTACATGGGTAGTGTTCCTGTTGTAGCACAGTACTGTATGATCAGCGGACTCAGATTTCACCGGAAATACTATACATCATCCGCCGCCATGCATAAAACATAAAACATAAAACAAAATCATTCAATCATTCATTCATTTTCTTTTTGGCTTAGTCTCTTTATTAATCTGGAGTCACCACAGCGGAATGAACCGCCAACTAATCCAGCATATGTTTTACACAGCGGATGACCTTCCCAACACAAATCAATTAAGTTAACTTAATTGTTTTGCTAAATTTAAGTGGATTCAACATAAAACATTTAGGTTGTCTCAAAACAACTTAAGAATTGTGTTGTTTCAGCAGCTCATTTCAAATAAGCAAATTCAACAAGGAGCAAAGTAATTTTTGGAGTGTAGATTTTGGACACATCTGCTCACAGTGAGTCCCAAGCCAAAATTGCAAAGTGTTGCTGTGTCAGCAAAAAACCCATTTACACACCCTGACCTGTGACCTCCTGAACTGACCTGTGATAAAATAGCTGAGCTCTGCATTTAGACCCGCGTCATTATCCGTGCAGTTGAGTCTGACCACCAGATAATCACGGGGTACGCTCTCCTCCAGAGACACGTTATAAACACTGGGGAAGAAAGTGGGCGTCTCATCATTCACGTCCAAAACTGCACACAGAAAGAGTGGAAAACATTACGATTATTCAGGATTTGCAGAAAAACACGTGTGGGCCGTGATTTTGCAGTGCTTACCTGTGATAGTGAGAGTGCTTGTGGACGTGCGGGGAAACTGGCCTGCGTCATATGCAATAATCCTCAGATAATACTGGCCGATCTGCTCCCGGTCCAGCACTACGGTGGACACCAGAATTCCTGTGGTGATGTTAAGCCTGAAGTCCAGCCTCGGCATCCCCATCTGAAGGGCCATTGTTACAGCACCATTGGCTGCTTCGTCGGGGTCCTGGACTTGCACCTGAGGGAGGAAACCAGCAGAGGGCATCAGCACACAGCATGCTTTTGTTACAGAGAGAGTAAAACAGGGGTCTCCAAACTTTTCAGCCCCAATATAACAATTTCAGAGACTAGTGACCTTCACTATCCTCAGAGGTGGATATAAACAAACAAACATTGCACAAAACGACTCGCACACACCAATAGGAACTAGCTATTTTACAACACAAAAAATTGCAACAGTCTAACGTCCATATTTTTTTTGAATAGTCATTATTCATTGAATTTAATAATAATCTCACTTTATGAGAATGGTTGGCACAATGTTTACAGCACAAGACAATTCATTGTTTAACTTTGAGACCTCCACTTGGAGATCTTTCTTTATGTTCAGTCGTGGCCTTTATTTATATGTGCCGTAAAGGTGTCAAAGTTTAACACTGTGCTGTAAAATCAATCTGCTGCAACTAATCCTATTGCTGCGTTGTTAATAATAACCCAAAGGTTCACAATCCAATAGAGGAGAAATGTAAAGGCTGATGTTTTTTATGTGCATGTTGTTTTTTACGTAACTATTAAATACTATTTTGATCTTTTGTAGGTTATGGATAAAATATGATAACTGTAGTAGTTTAATAACATACTGTATATGATATTTTTGGAAATCACCAAGCGAACCCCCTAATTGTCTCGCGACCCCACTTTGAGAATCACTGCAGTAAAACAACAAGCCAACTGTGCAGTCATCTGGGCAATACGCTGTGCTCAATTGGAATTCTTTTGACACTGTAGTTATGTTAAAAATCTATAGAACAATGCTTCTGGGCATCTGAAACACGGTATTTCTATATGGAGTTTGCATGTTCTCCCCGTATTGTCGTGGATTTCCTCTGGGTGCTCCGGTTTCCCCCACAGTCCAAAGACATGCGCTATAGGAGGATTGAATAAACTAAATTGGCCGCAGTGTGAGTCAGTGTGAATGAGTGTGTGTGGATGTTTTCCAGTACTAGGTTGCAGCTGGAAGAGCATTCGCTGTGTAAAACATGTGCTGGATAAGCTGGCGTATCATTCCACTGTGGTGACTCCTGATGAATGAAGGGACTAAGCCGAATGCGAATGAATAAATGAATGAATGAATGAATGAATGAATGAATGAATGATGCTTCTGTTTATCAAAGAAAAAATGACTTTTTAATGACTAATAATGGCAGTTGTTATTAATTTATCTATTTTTTAAATTAAGTTTCATATTTACAAGTGTACATTTTCTAACAATAAAACAAAACAAAACAGTGTTTCAGTATTTAGAAATTATTTCAGAACTCTTCAACATAGTAATACAAAGTCAATCAATCCAGAAGTGGTACTAGACACTGCATATTTTTGTACTGAAGCTGAATCTGAATGAAATGCAAAAAGAATATATATATATATATATATACACATATACACATATATACACATATATACACATATACACACATATATACACATATGTATGTATATATATATATATATATATATTTCCCAAACAATGTTTAACAGAGCAAGAAAAGTTTCACAGTATGTCTAATAATATTTTTCTTCAGGAGAAAGTCTTATTTGCTTTATTTCGACAAGAATAATAAATGAGTTATTAAAACTATCATGTTTAGAAATGCTTTGAAAAAAATCTTCTCTCCATTAAATAGAAAATGAGTGAAAAATAAACAGAGGGCAACTAATTAAGGGGGGCTAATAATTCTGACTTCAAGTGTATGCATATACAAGTTCAGATGCAAAAACCTCTAAATGCCATCTGAAATCTTCTTCCAAAATTAACATTTTTATCAGGCTCCTGTTTGTAAGTTCAGTAATTTCACTTTAATAGCAAAGGATAAATGATTTTCATGTTTTTTAAAGTGAAATAACAAAACATAAACAGGAGGCTTAGAAAAATTGAAATTATTTGATGGAAATTTCAGACGGCACTTTTTTTCAGCAGGTTTTTTTCTCTTCATATATATATATATATATATTTATATATATATTCTTATAATTCTTCACATTTAGTTTAAAGAAAAAAACAACATTTTATTCAGAATTTCTTTAATGTTTTTTCTTTCTTGAATCTCTCTGAATTTATTTGATTAAATGTGATTGTCTTTTGATTTGAATGTTTAAAGGTAGATTATTCCAGTGATATTTCATTATTACGCCAGTCTTCAGTTCTAATGTGCAAATCTAATATGCTGATTTGGTGTTTATTACGTTTATTAATATTGAAAACAATTGCTTTACAGAATAATTTGTGGAAACTGGGATAGATTTCTTTTCCTTAGGAATTCTCTGATGAAAGTTCAACAAAAACTGGTGTAACTGAGCTGACAGTATAACACAGTGATTAATGTTACATTGAAATCATTAGCAAGGTTTTTATTTACTAATATTTCAAAATAATACTTTAAATCAGTAATAATGCTTTTATAATTCATTATTCATTCATTCACTCATTCGTTCATTCATTCATTCATTGTCTTTTCGGCTTAGTCCCTTTATTAATCTGGGGTCGCCACAGTGGAATGAACTGCGAAATTATCCAGCATGTGTTTTACGCAACGGATGCCCTTCCAGCTGCAACCCATCTCTGGGAAACATCCATACATACTCATTCACACTCATACACTACGGACAATTTAGCCAACCCAATTCACCTGTACCACATGTCTTTGAACTCTGGGGGAAACCGGAGCACCAGGAGGAAACCCACGCGAACGCAGGAAGATATGTTATTATCTCAAATCTATTACTTTCCAAAGTGTGGTGACGATCATCTGTATTTTTGAGTGGTCTAAATATAAAATATACACTTAAGGTCAAATTTATTAGGCCTCATGTGGAATATTTATTCTTTTTCAAATTATATTTAATAAATTAAGGACATTTTCACAGTATTTCCTATAACAGAAATATTAGTTTGTACATATAATATAATCGTTTTTATTTTTAAGGTCAATATTATTATCCCCCTTAAGCAATTTTAAGTAATTTTTTTGATTGCAACAGAATAAACCACTGTTATACAATAACCTGTTTAATTAACCTAACTTAATTTACCTAATTAACCTAGTTAAGCCTTTAAATTGCACTTCAATCTGAATACTATCTTGAAAAACATCTGCCAAAATATTATCTACTGTCATAATGACAACCATATAAGAAATTTAGTTGGTAGAAATGCGGCATTAAAACTATTATGTCTTCTAAATCTTTTTCCCTTAAACAGAAATGGGGAAAAAATGTAAAAGAATTCAACTGTATATCAGGAAATGGGCCTATTTTGCTCTTGCATTATTTAACATGTCATTGGTCCATGCACAAACGTCAGCCAGTCAAATGCTCACCCTGAACACAGACGATCCAATAGGAAGTCCCTCAGGCACCTCAGCGACAAACGGGAGGTTGAGAAAGGCTGGGTCGTTATCATTCAGGTCAAGGAGGTTCACAAACACTGTAGCGCTGGCAGAAGAGCGCAGTGGAGGAGTCCCGCCTGAGGAGGGCAGCACAGACACCAAAAAACTCACAAAACTCATCGGAATTCTCCAGTCATTACATCCACTGAGGGAGAAGCAATTCTCAACACTGAAATGTCAGTTTATATTGTCAAACACAACTCAGACTAATGCTCAAAACACAGTAAGAGAGGGAGAAACAAAGTCTGAGAAGACAGACGAGACAAATGGTGTGTTTGGAATGGAGTGCAGGCTTACTATCTGGTGAATACTGCACAGCATACAGTATACAAAGTACGCACATTTTATCCAGGAAGACAAATATCTGCTAAATAATAAACATAATGAAACATTATAATTAATTCATATTTCAGAATCTAGAACTAAATGCTTTTGAATCAAAAAATATGTTTGGTGTTTGTTTAAAATACTTATTTAAAATGAGCTGAAACAACATGATTCTTGATTTTTTGGGGGGAGAGCCTAATTGTTTTTTTTTTTTTTTTTCAATAAACTTAAAGTTGTAAAAACTAATAAGTCAACTTAATTCCAGCACAGATTGATTGTGTGGAACCCAGCATTTTTGTACAGTGCTGATTTTGTTTTAAATGTCTCTAAAATTGAAAGTTTAGTGAAATAACACACATGACAATTAAAAACGGTACATGTTTAAGGTTTGTGCCTTCATACCTGCTTGTGTATTAAGTACCTTTAGGTATTTAAAAATACTTCTTGTAAAGCTTATCTATGAAGCTTGAGTACACAAGTAGAAACTTTGTTAACAGTAAAAATGACAATTCACAATATTAACTACTGGCTTATTTTCCTGGCAACTAATAAGATATTATTTGTTTATTAGGAGTTATAAAGCATGATCTTATTCTACATGCCTAATCCTGTCCAAACCTTACTAACTATTAATAAGCAGCCAATTAGTAGTTTATTAAGCTAATGGTCTTAATTAATGATTTGCTAATAGTGAGATTAAGGCACAGTGGCTCAGTGGTTAGCACGGTCGCCCAACAACAAGAAACATTAAAAAGGGGTTAAAAAACTATTTAAAAAAAAAAAGGTAGAATCATTGGTAATAATACTATAAAAAAAAAAACAATACCATATTAAAATGTTTTACGATAAATGCAGAACTCTCCACTACATTTGCTCTAGATCCTTCCAGTGGGTTTACAAGGACGAGGCTGTCGACATCTCTAAATGTCTCTGCACATTCCTGATATTTAATAAACACAAAAAAAAAAAAAAAACAGAAATGGTGAGGAGAAGGTGTCTGTTAATAACTCTCACCAAACCTTTTTCCTGATTTTTCTGAATACAATGCCTACTTACTACTTTCGATCAGCTTGGAGTAAAAATGTTTAAAAAAAAAAAAAAAAACAAGCAACGGCCACTGTTTCCTCACTTAATATTCAGCTTTTCTAGGAACTGCATCACAATACAAAAAAAAAAAAACAGTCGCAACTTCCAGTTCATGCAGACTTTAAAGTCATTAAAGGTGTGCTGTAGACTGTAAAAGTGTCTTTATTTAGTCCTCAGCGAGCGATTGTGAGACAGCTGAGAGTAACTTACGGTCAGTGGCGGAGATAATGATGGTCCTCATAAGCTGAGCGGAGCGAGCGTCTTGGCTTTCTCTGTCCAGCACGGCCCCGCTGGTGCGGATCTTTCCGGTGTTGCGGTTGATGGTGTAAAAGGGGTTTTCTGGATTTATAGAATAAACCACCGTCCCATTATCACCATAATCAGGGTCCACAGCAAACACCTGCACACAGAAACAGAAGATATACGAGTCAAAACAGAGTCCCAAGGTGGAGAAATTAAATCACACCAACTCTTCCCTAGAATGGCATGATGGGAGATTTATGCATGGGACATAACTGTCGAAAACCTTGGCTGTTGTTTTTTCTTTTTTTAAAGAGCCAATCAATTATTCAGAGTGCTGGTGGAGAAGCACTGAAAATCACTTAATTGGTCATTAGAGAACAGAGGTTTTGTAGGTATTTAATTATTGAAAGAGGAAGGACCAGACGACTGTGTTCTCCATTGATTAGAGGGAGTTTAAATGGAGGATGTAGAGCACGGGTCTAATGTAAACTTTATCTAATTGATTTGAACTCTGAGGGAGATTTCACACATGCGTTCATTCAGGCTTGTTTACGGGCCAATTTAAAGGTGATTTGCAGTGTTACAACAAGCCGACTTGTTCCAGCTTAGTGTGCAGACTAGGTCAAACTCACTGTGGCGTTTATTGCTCAATATGATCTTATCAAAACACAGCAAAAAAATAAAATAAAATAATAATAATAATAAAATAGACAGATATTTAGAAAAAAGTTCACAGTGCTTTTTTCCAAATAAAAAATACAATGAAAAAACAAACAAACACATCCAATCAGGTTTTCGGCAGGTTTCTTTAAGTCAAATTTAATACTTTTTAAGACCCTTTTAAGAGCATTATGAATAAAATTGTAGACTTATACAAGGTTAAACACTAAGGATTTTTTAAATGTAGGATCATGTAAGAGGATGTGTTGCTTAAGTTTTCTTCCTAATTAGAGAATTTAATTTGAAGAATTTATTGTAAAAATATATAACAGCTATTGCGATTAATATATAATCGCAATATATATATATAGTTGAAGTCAGAATTATTAGCCCCCTGAATGTGAATTTTATCTTTGCCATGATGACAGTAAATAATATTTAAGACACTTCTATACAGCTTAATGTGACATTTAAAGGCTTAACTAGGTTAATTAGGTTAACTAGGCAGGTTAGGATAATTAGGCAAGTTATTGTATAACGATGGTTTGTTCTGTACACTATTGAAAAAAAAATTAGCTTAAAGGGGCCAATAATTTTGTCCCAAAAATAGTTAAAAAAAATTTTAAACTGCTTTTATTCTTGCCGAAATAAAACAAATAAGACTTTTTCAAGTAGAAAAAATATTATCAGACATACTGTGAAAATTTCCTTGCTCTGTCAAACATCATTTGGGAAATATTTAAAAAAGAAGAAAACATAAAGCAGAATGTTCTTTTATATGTCCTGATAAGTTTTTTTTCTTTTGCATATTTAAATACTCTACAGATTTAACAACAAAGATTTTAGTAATAAGCTTTGGCTGCTTTCTCTTCAAAATGCATCTTATGTGCCCTTGAACAGTTGTTTCATAAGATAGAGCTTTGTGAATGTTTTATTTAATCTGTAAAGGCTTTAATGTGTTGTTAATAATTGTAACATTATTCTACTCAAAGCAACGATCACGGTCTTTTTGTTAGATCAATTCCATGAGATCAATTTGCCGAGCCTAATAATTAGATACAAAAGAGGTATAATTACATGATTTAGTTACTTTAGATGTTCAAAAATACTCGTTAAATGGACTTTATAAAAATGGCATGTTAAAACTAAACAGAATAAAGTGTAAAGGCTTAAAGTTGATAGCAAATAAAATAAACTATCTTTAAATTTATTAGCCAAAGAATAAAGTAACATATACCTAAAGTGTATTTAATTGATATGGTACTTTTAATAAGATTTGTATGTTTATTATGAAATGTAAATCGCGGAAATTCTGCAATAGGAAGCCTATCTTCCGCGAACATTAAGAGAAAGCCAGTATACTGTACGTAAAGATCCTTCCTCATCAAAGAAGTGGTGGAAAATAGACAAAAGAAACATGTGTGACTGGGAATGTGACTGGAAACACACTCCAGGTGTGACTGGGAATGTCTCACTTGTCCACCTGTAATCGGATTGATAAAATCGCATCTTAATAGCGTTAGAAAGTATAAACAGCATGCACATGATCTCTCTCTGTCTGCCTGCCAACCTGTCACTGCTGATTTAGTGGAGGAACTAAAAAATCTAACATAGCAAAACTGATGAAGATTTGGACAAAAAAAGTATTGCGCTGCAAAGAGCAAAACTAGTTTAAACTTAGGCCTACCTTAGCAAATGACCATCGAATAAGTGGGATAATCAAGGGCTTGTCTAGTGTTAAAGAATTTGAATGCACTTCGTCATGTTGTCGTGTGTTCCTTTGCATTAAAAAAACATCTTATGACACCTTATGTAAATTAGTTATGTAAAAAAATGTACAAAATCTGTCACTGGGGTGGTAACTTTTCAAAAATACACATTTTACCATATTTTTTCCTATTAATGGGGCTTTGCAATAAAAACCGGCAGCTAAATTGCATATTTTAGCACATAAAAGTACCTCCTGAAATGGTAGCATCCCAGTGACATACAAAAGAAAAAATCTATGTATGTTCTATGCTATATGAATAAATATTTGATAAAAGGAGTTGAAGTAAAGGAGTGTGAGTGAGTAAATAACAACAAAATAAAAGGTTAAGTATTAATTTAAAGAGTTGACTGATAAGTGAACTAATAGACAAAAACATTTGAGGTGATTTAGTTTTTACATCCACTGTTCTGTGATTTAAAGGATCTGTATATTTGATCCTCTGTTCTGCTTCATCTATCTCTCCTGCACGGTGTCCAGCAGGGTAATCAAGTATGCGCTTGACTCTAGGCTACATTTTAATTAGTCATCGGAAACCTCTAGCCTAATGGCGTTCAGTACCTGCTTATCAATTAACAGACAATCAGGAGCATATTTAGCCGAATACAGATCCAGCATAAAACATCTAAACATTTACAAGCAAAGCCAACCGTTCAGGGCTGACCACATTTACCTTGAAACACACAACATATTTCAATCGTACAGTAAAGTTTTATTTATGCTTTTCTTTAGCTTTTCTCTCAGATGCTATATCTACAGATATTGTACAGTTTAGATCGTCTGAATTAGATTTAGTCTCCATGCAAAATGCAAAGTTGTGCCTATACATAGTGTTGTCACGATACTGGAATTCGGTATTAAATGATACTGAAATTTTAAAACTGTCCATTTCCTTTTTAACATTTGAGCGCTGTTGAGCACGTTCTTAAACAGCGAAGTTTGTTCCTGTGTTCACCTGCTCAACAGAAATGACTGTATTTGGCTGTGAAGGTCATCAGTTAGCCAAACTCATTGCTGTTTACTGAGTGTACAGGGACACTAGAGCATTTTAAAGCTTCATCAACGGATTGCTTGTATGTCAGCCTATAGACAAATCAGCTGATCTTTGTGGCTTTAAAATGCTCCAGTGTCCCTGTGTCTGGGGTTACACTCAGGCTGATTTGTTTGCTCTAACAGCAAAATTACACATAAAAACATTGGTACATGTAAAAAAGCATATCATGATCCCTTTAAAAGATATTCAGGGTACTATTTAGATAATTTAGTCATTAGTTGGATCATATTTTAGGCTTTGAGTTATGTCCAAAAAAAAAACAAATAAAACTTTTCGGAAAACTAAAAATCTCTTTTACAAGTCTACATATATTTCCTCTTTTTTCCGCCACTCGTTAACCTAATATTAACCATTAACAGATTAATATTAAAATATTATTTAATTAAAAAAATAATAACAATTGACATGCCTATTTTGAGTGACACATTAAATATTGCATTTTAAAATACTGATTTATTTTTACAGGCGAACAGCATACAGAACATAACAGAGCATCTTCACCCACCTGCAGTGTTTTCAGCAGCATGGAAAAACAGAATAAACTAAACAAAAAAAATTAATTAAATCCTGCTCTAGATCTTTTTTACTTGAATGACAAATTTAGATTACAAAATAAAAACACTGACTGAATACTTTTTAAGAACCGGCATATGCTGATTGTCCAATCATGTTTTTTTCTTCCATCAAATAAAAATATTAGGCTACCTCAAATAGATCGCTCCACGGAAAAAAATGCATTTAATAATGCTCCGCTGTTAGTATATTATAAATCCTCTGTCAACACTTTTTAATGGAAGTCATTAGTTTAAAGATTATGTCTTAATTATGATTATGACTCATTTCATCTGTCTCACTCGCGGTTCATTTGTGCGCGCGCTGCGTGTAAGGATATGAGAATGACAATGAACCTTAAGGCTCATATGTTGACTTTTTGTAGTCAAGTATAGGCTAATACATAGCATATAACAATTTTGTTGTTTACATATGATTTTGCATTAATTTGCAAATATGATTTATAAGCTGTAAATTGAAAGCCTCAGTTTGGTGCGAAGTTTCCTTATTAATCCTTATGCAAAAACTGCACTGCACTGCCTTTAATGTTGACACTAAAAAAAAGAAGTGCGGTGCTCTTTTTATGTCACTAGCAAACGACTGAATCGGCTGAGCTGTATTGTGCATGAGTCGTGTTGCTGTCAATGTTGTTATAATTGTATTTTTTAATAGCATTAATGCTCCTACACATGCTTTTCGTTTGCGTTTATCGTCAGCATTTTACAAGACTTTTTTCTGTATTCAAAACCAATCGATTTTTACTGGCGCCAAGCAGAAGACTATGCAAAATTACTCCATGACGTTAGATGGCGCTACACAACTTCAGCAGCTCCGTGCATGTGAACAAAAGTGCCGATCTGATTAGTGGAGAAGGTTTTGACGTGGCGCGCCAAAACAGAAAAACGAGCATGAGACGTTGTTTCAAAATGAAGCTTTTGAGCCTGGCGTTTTGCGTGTTGGTGTGCACGATCACATTGACGCCCTTTATGTAGTCACGAGGCATTAAACATAGACAGAAAACACGAGCAAAAAACATCTCTGTGTGCAAAGGCCCATATGATATTCAAAATTCGTACAGCTCAAGTCTCTCTTCCATCATTAAAACTTTGCCGTAGTCGTCTTGACAACATAAAACCTTAAAGGAAACTCCGCCTCTGCTTTCATTTGATTGAAGAATGAAAAAGACGCGACTGAGGTAACATGCTTTTTCCGCTCGAGCGCACACAGCACGCAACGGTAAAACGCGAAGCACACAGGGTGCAGAAGCAGCGCATAAAACACTTGCAGCCATTAGTAAACCATTTAAAAGAGCCCCTCTAAACAAAAAAAGCACGTTCACTATGGTCAGCCCCTTAAGCAGCCAAACTTTTAAAATATATATCAAATAATATTTTTTGATCGTTTAACTGATCCTATTATTCGATTACAAATGCATCCTTTCGGTTAATGGTTAATCGGTTAATCTGAGCATTCCTAGTTGCCAGCATCCATCAGTTACATTTAAACTTTTAGGGCCCTATCATACACCCGGCGCAATGTGGCGCAAGGCGCGGCGCAATAGTCTTTTACTACTTTAAGCTTGGAGCAAGGGGTCATTTTGAGGTGTTGCGCCACGCTGTTTAAATAGCAAAGGCATTTGCGCTCAAATGTGCGCCCATAGGCTTTCATTTCTAAAAAAGCAGGCGTGTTTTGGCGCGTTGCTAATTTGAGGAACTGTAAATAGTCTGTTCATTAGACCAGAACAAAGTCGGTCTATTGTCTGGCGCAAGGTGCGCCTGGCTTACACACTGCACACAAGATGTAGAGCAATACGCAAATATCTTTACATATGAAAAAGATAAAATATTTTAAAGATATATATAATAAGGATATATATAGGATAGAAATATAAATGATTAAAATATTACAAAACATAATAATTTCTAGCCTACATGAATTTAAAAACCACTGCCTTCATACTTTCTTCATCTCGGGAGGCTTTTTCAGTTCATTCAATTTGCTTTTGTATAATGTTATTATTATTAGCAGTATTATTTATTATATCCATGTTTATAATTGTTTTATTAAAAACAAGCTTAGATTTGTCCACCTGTCAGGTTTTAGACCATATGGGGCATAGCAGGTGTATTTGGAAATAACTCAGGATTTTGAACACACTTTATTATTATTAATCATTTATTCGTTTGCTGGAAATTAGAACTGAATTTAGAAATAGTTTTGAAACAAATCTTTGTGCTTAACAAACGAAATTATTTATTTATAGGCTAATTGATGTCTGTGCGGTAAGGTTTCCCTATCCACGAGAGCAAAAGTGAAAGTGAACTTACTTTACGTCATGTTAATAGCAATGCGCTTATGGCGCGACGCAGCTGGCTCTTAAAGGTAATAGGAGATGAGACTCTAATTGGTTTATTCTCAAAACACACCTATAACTCATTAAGAAAATAACTCAGCCCTTTTAGCCCATGCGCCACGGCGCAAAGCGGATTTTCCCATCCTTAAGTTAGCAAAAATGCGTTCCGACACGCCCTGAAAGTGTTTGCGCCCTGCGTTTTGCGCTCTGCGCATGGACCGTCAAAATAGAGCCCTTTGTATTGGTTCTAGTCCAAATATCTACAAATTCTTATATCAAAAAGCATTTTCTAGACATAAAAAAAACATTTTGTTTTAAGAAATAATAGGCCAAAATGAAGTGGGTTTTCCCTCAATGCAAGCAAAATAATCTGCCAATGGGATAAGCTAAATAATCATGTCAAAACAAAAATCAGGATTATTTAGCTTACCGCATTGCTGGATTATTTTTAATATTTAGTTTTAAGGAAAAACATACTTAATTTTAGCATATTATATCTTAAAACTAAATGTTTTTTTTTTGCTTCTCTAAAAAAAGCTTCTTAATTTAAGAATATTTAGATATCTGGCCTAGAACCAAGACAAAACATGTAGGTAGGGGATGCATTTTTGCAGTGTAATGAATGCAATCCTGCTTGGTGCCTCTAATAGTGTAGAACTCAACCACTTGTTACCTAGTAAACATGGGGTTGTTTCCTAGAGAACTGATTGCCGTACAAACCCTGACTCGTGAAAGCTAGACCAGTTAGAAACCTCTAGCCACTTCCGAATGGCCCCAGTGAGTGCAGTCTGAAACTAAAAGTAGAAATGGTGTGACTGACATTAACATACGCCATAATTTATGCATTCACCAAAGGAGAAAAAAAGTGATTTCAAGCAATAGAATAATAGGAGCATATTATGGAGAGCTCTGTAAAATGTTCCAAGGACATGGAGGTGAGAGCCCACTTTGAATTCAGCTGCAAAACTCCTGCCGATCAAAGGCAGGGACGGACGGGTTTTCTCCAGACAGAGACGAGATGGAAACCTGCACCTCTGGGTACAGGGGGGATTGGACTCAGAGTCAAACTATAAGACATTATCACTCAAAATCAATAACACTAACTATGTTTACCTGCTGACATTAGGATCTGCTGCTGTTTCTCTATCTTATTTCATTCTACACGCATCCTATATGATGAGATTTTAGCCTTTTGGTGTCTTAACTAGGCTCCTCAAAGCGAAACTACCATTAAAGCACACACAAAATCAAAACTAACATATTGATTGTGTTAGCTTACATTGCTAGTTTTGAAGTGAACAATTAATCTGTGCATGTAATTAAAGAACAAAAAATTGTGTGCCCTTGTAATCTTTAATTGAAATCTGAAATTGCACTTCCTGTTTGTATTTAGTTCAATTCTCAGATTACATTTTCCTATGACTGAACTCATACGAATTCGCCACTAAACTAACAAAATGTAAAATATTTATGTTTCCTCATGAGATCAGGCTAGTTTTATGACAAAACTGCTGCGTTTTTTGGACATTGGATGTATGTAACCCTACTGTTGGAGGCCTCCTGGAAAAAAAAAATCCACCTTCAAAATGACAGTCTGTTCTTTACACAAGGCTTTCTGAACAATTCTAGGGGAAATTTTCATTCAAGTTATTTATATTTGTGTACAAGCTGAGAGTTGTGTGGAAGTGAAAGAATGAGTTCATCAGAAGCAACTTTCTTGCGCAGGTCAAAGGTCAGATTGATAGGTCACCATAAAGAGCACATGTTTGTAAGCAACCATAAGGTCAAAAGGTCATTGTGGAGGATAAAGGTCAGATCAGTGCACTCACAGTGATGACGTCAGTATCGATGGGACTCATCTCCACAACGTTTGCTTGATACGGCTCATCCCGCCACACCGGGGCGTTATCGTTTATGTCCAGGACAGTGATGTTCACCTACAGTAAACAAATATGTGCTTTAAATCACTTTAAACAATCTCAAATGCATTAGCTTGATTGAATATGGTAGAATAATAACAGCCATGTGACAACAGACCCTAATTGTCTATAAATAAGGGAATGTATTTATAATAACAGTTAGACCAGGGGTGTCCAAACTCAGTCCTGAAGGGCCAGTGTCCTGGAGAGTTTAGCTCCAACTTGTTTCAGCACCTGCCAGGAAGTTTCTAGCATATCTAGTAAGAGCTTGATAAGCTGGTTCATGTGTGTTTGATTAGTGTTAGCTAAACACTACAGGACACAGGCCCTCCAGTAGAGGTCTGCACCCGACCAGATTTCTACGGCGCGGGTATAAATTTCCAAATAAATCACGGGAGCGGTCGGTAACGGGTTTAATTTGGGACGGGAGCGGGCTGTCTAGCAATATCGCTCCCGACTCCCGAGTGAGCACGCGTATGTATGTGTGTAAATGAAATAGCGCGATGCTGTGTTTAGCTTGTTTGTTGCAGTGTGTGTGTGTGTATGTATGCGCACGCGCGAATGAGAGATATGTGTGTGTGTGTGTGTGTGTGTGTGTGTGTGTGTGTGTGTGCGCGCGTGAATGAGAGATAGAGAGCTTTGCCTGTGTTTGTGCTTGGTGCTTATGAGTGTGTGTTAGAGGGCGCGCGCGCGCGAATGAGTCATAGAAAACTTTGTCTGAGTGTGTGTGCTTGGTGCTGTGCGTGTGTGTGTTTATACAGACAGCTTGTTATAGGCTGTCTGGACTGTATAACTGGGTGATTTTCGGTTTTGTTCTCCCCCCGCTCTTTAGCGGGATCGGGCGCGGCGGATAGAAAACGGGGCGGGTCGGGCAGCGGGACATCAAGTGCTTAATATAAGCGGAACATCCCGCAACAAAAACAACAAGTGGACATGACAGCAGCACGGTCACAGCATTAAAGACACTTAAAACTTTTACTTTAACACATGTGTACCAAATAATGGGTTTTATTTCTGTATCGCAATCTCGAACGAATCTTTTTAACCGGATCTTTTAAGTGAACCAGATGCACTAGTTCACCAAAACGAACTGAATCATTTGAAACGATTCGCGTCTCCAGTGAGCACTTATCCACAAACTTCTTTTATGCAAGACATTTTTCAGATCATTGTGATGTTTTTACTGACTGAAATTATACTATTGCTGACTACATAATGTTGAGTCCTAACATCCACATTAAATATCTGAACTTCCCATCACTACTGTGTATCTAATCTCAGAGCAGCCTTGCACACATGTTGTACTTAAGGCTGCTATCTTGTGGGCTGCTGTATTTGAATTTGAGGATGGGTATGTTATTGGTAGATGCTGTGGTATGATATTGGTAGATGATAGTATCCTCTAAATACAGATTTCAAAAAACATTTTTATTATACAATATTTGTTCTATTGATTTTGAATCTTGCACCTAACAAGTATCCTTATTTAGAAAAAAACTGAAACTAATACTGAAACTAATAAAAACTAAGACATTTTAAAATATAGAAACTAATAAAAACTAGTAAATCTACCTCTAAAACTAATTAAAACTAGCTTAATTTGAAAACAAAAAGTCAAAACGAAATAGAAACTAAAACTAATGAAAAATCCAAAACTATTATAACCTTGATTCACACACATACACTACGGCCAATTAAGCTTACCCAATTCATCCATAGCACATGTCTTTGGACACAGTGTCACCCAATATCGTAAACTACACAAGCATTTTTTAACTTGATGTTTTCCCAACTAAGCAGGCTATTGGTTTTAATGTAGTACAATGATGTTGTACAAGTCAGCTGTTACCGTAGCAATGCCAGTCTTCTGCTGTGGACCCACTCCTCCATCAACAGCCCTTACAATCAGAATATACTCAGACTTCATCTCTCGATCCAGAAGAGCTGTGGTGGTAATCTCTCCTACACACACACACAAACAATGGTAATTTCTAATTAAGGCCTAAAATCTTCAAAAAGATGGTAAAAACCAAAGTCTAGACTATGGTTTTAATATCCTTTTGAAGGTTTTAGACCTTAAATAAACATGTATTAGCAGAAATTAAACAATTTTTAAACAATAATGAAAACACTTTAATTTTGACCTGTTTTGGATGTGTTCAGGTATATTTTAGTTTTCTTAAATTTCTTTTTAAGATTGATTTGGGACTTTTAAAACTTCATGTCAGCAAACTTTTAAGAAAAATACATTCAAACTACCATCAGTCTGCAATTATTACATAATAGGTGGGTGTGGCTCTGAGGCCCCGCCCTCATGGTTCAGTTTATTTTGCTGAGGTCAATAGTCTAAGGAAAAGTAAATAGTCTCTTTATAATAAACATGGAAACTTTAAGTGTGTAACACTTTAAAATAATAGTCCATTAGGCCCAGTTTACGCTAATATGTTTTAGTTTTAATAATAATAATAATAATAATAATAATTCCTTACATCTATATAGCGCTTTTCTGGGCACTCAAAGCGCATTACACAATGGTGGGGGGGGGCTCCTCATCCACCACCAGTGTGCAGCATCCACCTGGATGACGCAACGGCAGCCATTTTGCACCAGACCGCACACCAGCTGATTGGTGCTAAGAGACAGAGTGATGAAGCCAATTATGATTTGGGAAGTGTTAGGAGGCGATGATGGACAGAGGCCAGTGGGCAGATTTGACCAGGATGCCGGGGTGAAAGTCTACCCTTTTTCGAAGGACATCCTGGGATTTTTAATGACAACAGAGAGTCAGGACCTCGGTTTACCGTCTCATCCGAAAGACGGCGCTCACTGAGCAGTATAGAGTCCCCGTCACTATACTGGGGCATTAGGACCCACATTGCGCCCCCTGCTGGCCTTACTAACACCACTTCTGGCAGCAACCTAGCTTTCCCATGTGGTCTCCCATCCAGGTACTGACCGGGTGCAGCCCTGCTTAGCTTCAGTGGGCGACCATGTGAGAGTTGCAGAGAGCTAGCTGCCGGCAAACGCTTTGTTTTCGGTGCATAAGATGCATAAGATTTGCTACGGTTACGCCATCCATCCACACTACGTTGGAGTTTTTGAGCACCGAAAACAAAGCGTTTTGAAAATGCTGGAGAGGCCGTTTTTATTCTAATACTCTGCTGCTCCGTGTCAGTGGGGATGAGGGAAAACGAAAACATCTGAAAACAGAGGCAGGGCTGCAGACTTTCTGATTGGGGCCTCCCTCAACATTAAGTAGACTACACACAGTTCACAAAAGTGTTAAAGAAATCTTCTCTCCGTTAAACAGAAATTGGGGAAAAAAATATACAGGGTGATGAATATAACTGTGATGTTAAAGGTTAATGGGCAGGTATGAAAGTGTGTGTTATTGTCCACCTGAGCGTGTGTTGAGTCTGAACTGTGAGCTGCCCTGCAGGGAGTAGATGAGCGAGGTCTGACCGAACTCTCGAGAGGCGTCCAAATCTGTGGCGTTCACAAACAGCACCGTCGCACCTGACAAACAAAACATGAGTCAAATGAGAAAACAAAGAGGATGCAACAAAACCATCAGATAATGACTGTGAGAAACTGAAAGGACGAGATAATGCACGACACACAAAGAAGAGGTGATAGACAGAAAAAGTGTGAGGGATGGTCTTCAGACAGGATATGGTTAAAGTGCGAAGTTGAGAAGGACAGGATATGGATTTCAGAGGTTTAGTTAACAATGCTTTTCTTACTTAGATTTTTTTTTGTCTTGTTCTAGTTCATTGTATAAATAAGCAAAACATATTGTCTTGTTTTCAGAAAAAATATGTCAAAATTAAGGGAGTTTTTCCTTTAAAAAAATCTATAATCTGCCAATGGGGACAGCAAAAAATATTATAGCAAAAGTAAGAACTAAACTATTTTTCTGACTCCATTGGCAGATTATTTTGATTTATGAATATGGAGACAAATATCTTAAAGGATTCCTATAGTGTGTCCAGAATGATGCAGCAAGAAAACAGCAGATAAACAGACTGGGTTTACATTTACTGACTGCTGTTGAAGAGAATATCTGCTTATAAAACATTATATTATGTATCTTTTATGGCCAAGTGTGCAAAAAGTGTGCTTAAACTATCTTCCAATAAATTAATTTTTTAAATATATGTTATTTTTATAAAATCTAATTATCTAATTCTTTTTATAATTAATTAAATTATCTATTTATCTAACTATTTATAATTATACTTCCTTAAATAATTCTAGTATTTTCTTTTGTATTTTTAATTTTATTTTTGTTTAATTTAATTTAATTTAATTCATAAAATGTTTGGATCTAAATTGAGAATAAATGGTCAAATAGATGGAAGAAATGTCCAATAACAATTAAATTAAATGAAAAAAATTATAAAATAAAATAAAATGAACAAATAATAATTAAAATAAATAAAATAAAATAAAAAACAATAATTAAAATAATATAAAATGAGTGGGTCATTTTCTAATAAAAATTAAATTAAATTAAATTAAATAAGTAGTCATTTTCTAAAATAAATAAATGAAAAATAAAATAAAATAAAATAAAGAGTGGGTCATTTTTTAATAGTAAAATAAAATAAAATAGGTTTATAAAAAATAAAATATGATAATAAAACTAAATAAAATAAAATAAAATAATAAAGAGTGGGTTATTTTATAATAACAAAAACAATAAAAAATGAAAAATGTGAACAACAGCTAACTAAAATAAAAATAAACTCTGTATGCTGTCAGTAACTTATGCTGTTCATGTTCCGTTTACTGCTCTATAACAGGTAAAAAATAACAACAACAAAAAAAAAACTCTGTTTCTGCTTCTTTGGGTGGTGAGAACTGAAACATAACTCCCCCAAGCCAGTTCCCCAGCTCTGATAAAGCAGCACTGATTCACACAAAACATGAAATTAGCATGAAACTGAAAAAGTGCACAGCTGACTGAATGCTGTAAATCATCCCTGACAGGAATAGTTATGCTCACATGAGGTTTCTGCGCTACATATTCACATTTTCCACCATTTTCTGATAATACAATAGTAAAATTACCTGCAACAATATTCTCTGGTATGTTGACGATATAAGACGGGAGGCTGAACTCGGGTGGGTTGTCGTTCTGATCCTGCGGAGGAAAGGAAATCTGTGTTTTAGCTATCAAAAAAAAAAAAGAGTTATTAAATATTAACTCATTAATTTTCTACTGGGAACAAAAAACCCTCTTGGTTGTAATTAAATGTATTGATGAAGTGCTTTTGGAGTTTAATGGAAACTCACAGGCTGTGGCGATGGCAAATTATTCAATATCAGACACATACACTGTTTCACCACTTCAATTCAGCAATAACACACACACGCACAGAGGCATGGATGTGTCAAACCCCTGCTGTTTTTCAGATGAAATGTGTCTAATCAGAATCAAAATAAAAGAGCAGAGAAATGTCAGAGTGAAATTATCCATGGATTAACCATCCTAGTCAATGAAGCTCAGAGGAAACAGATGAATTCAGAATTAACACAACGATCACAAAACGCCAATGTGAGCCTATTTGTGTATGATGAAACTGAAAACTGATATGAAATATTAAAACAAACAACACCGAAAACCTACGCTTCTCTTGACTTAAAGGGTCACGAAATCCCCCTGTTTCAGCAGGGTCTTTTCACACCTCTAGTTTAGAAAAAGTCAGGAAAGTGGGCATGTCGGTTTGGGCACACGCTGATTTTCACAGAGGCAAAACAAACACACAGACGCAGAGGAGAAAGACAGTGACTGTGTTTAAATGGACACCAGTAATAGGATTATTTGACAAATCATTAAATGGTGGTCTTTAACTGTTGTTTGGCACTTTCATTCAGGAATTTCATTCATGCCCCTCGTGACAAACGAGATATTTGATTCGAGGATTTGATCAAGATATTTGATTTGCTGTAAGTGTGTATTTTTCATGCAATGTTTGATACCGCATGACGAATGAGAGAAAACACCTCTGCATTTCTCAGAAACTTAGATGCACTCGGCAGGTAGCGTCAGAAACCCGCGCATGTTATTCTTGTCACAAAAGGCGGCGAAAATCCTTCACGACTGTAATACTTTGATTGCTGTGTTTACTTGTTTACACTTGGAGAGCTGCATTTACAGCGGATCTTTCAGTCCATAATATTGTTGTGATATTAACGAACGGTAAACTTTAGTACTTAGAAATCCAGATTTCACCATTTCAAGATGAGAAAAGCTCTCGGCTAAAAAATGTTCCTTAGACACACATTTTTGTTGAGCGTCGAGCACTGTAATCCACACATAAGTCCAGCTGCGCTCTCATAGCATGAAAATGAAAACAAAAACTTCCTTGCAGCAAATTATAAAAGCAACACTGACGACCCGTATCTCCAAACAATTCTTCTTCTCCTACTACTCCCTCTGCTGTCTAAACACTGTACAGGTACAAACAGTCTTTGAAGCTATCATGCATATTAATGAAGTTGCACCGCATACACAATAAAGCGCACTGATTGGTTTGAACCAAGTCTTACTTAAATTAATGCTGCACACTCAGAGACGTCACAAAGTACTCTGAGGTACAGACATACAGTCTCCATGCTGGAATACACGCAAGTATCTAATCGGCGTGACGCAGCTTTAACCATTCGTTTTAAACCAGAAGAACAAATTTGTTTGAAACAACACAAAAACAACCAATTTTCACTTTTTTTGTGAAATATATGTGTCCTAGAAGTTTTTTTAGCACCGTGTGTTTTGGTGTTTCGTGACCCTTTAATAACCACCAGTGTATCAATTCAAATTTGATCCATACAGTTTTACTATGTTTTCCCAACTTCTGCTGGATTTCTCACTACGCTAAGTAGCTAAAAAATGTATTCATTATAATTTGGATCTTTTATTTTGTTGTATTTGTTTGCAATTGGCTTTTGTTCCTTAAAATAGTTGAAGTATAATTTTTTTATATTATTATAAATATTATATAATAATTATTTAAATTTATATTAAAATCTTGAAGGGCCTATAATGAATATATCATTCATTCATATTCTTTTCGGCTCAGTGCCTTTATTAATCCGGGGTCACCACAGCGGAATAAACCGCCAACTTATCCAGCATGTTTACGTAGCTGATGCCCTTCTATCTGCAACCCATCACTGAGAAACACCCATACACTCCTATTCAAACTCATAACGCCACACTCAATTTTTAGCCTACCCAATTCAAGAATACCACTTGTCTTTGGACTTGTGCTGGAGCACCCGGAGGAAACCCACACGAACACGTGGAGAACATACAAACTACACACAGAAATGCCAACTGACCCAGTCGAGGCTCGAACCAGCGACCTTCTTGCTATAAGGTGATTGTGCTACCCACTGCGCCACCACATTGCCCCATAATAAATATACAGTAATTGTAATACATTATTATTATTATTATTTATTTATTATTATTATTACTATTTTGAAATCTTAAAGAGGCTATCAATTATAATATTGACCTTTAAATATGTCTTCAATAATATAGGAAATACTGTGAAAATATCCTTGGTCTGTTAAAAATCACTTGAAAAATATTAATAAAAAAAAAAGAATTAAAATTACACAGCAGGGTCAATAATTTTGCCTTCACTTGTACATCATGACCATAAATAACAAAAAAAAGATAATTAGAGCAGACCGCACTCTGGTGTAGTGTATTAACTTAAATGTGAACTGTTGTGTTTATGACTCACAATCAGCTCGATGATGACTGGAACGGTGCTGTTGAGAGATGGATTTCCTCCATCTTTAGCCATCAAAGTCAGAAAGATCAATCCACCAGGAACCTGCTCATAATCCAGAGGACGAGTCACGGTGATGACTAAACAAACAAACAAACAAACAAACAAACAAAAAAACAAAAAAACAAACAAACAAACAAACAGGGGTTACCACACTCAAATCACAGAAATATTCACAACAGATAAGCAGCTGCTTGCTAGAACAAGGCATCTATAATTGCTTTATGAAAACAGCAGAGGTCACAAAGCCTTCTCTAAAGGCATTTTCACGCTTTAAGGTGTTAAACCCAAATCCGATTCTCTGCTAATGCACTGTGCGATGGCGAGTCTAATGTAACCTGCCAACAGCCTGAACAAGCAGTGAAATTGTATTATTATGTGGCTTTGATTTTAAACACAGACCTGCGTAGCCCTCCGCAATGCTGATGCTGAAGAATGACCTGAACTGAGAGGCGTAGATGATGGAGTAGGTCAGGATGTTATTAGGAGGAGAGTCCTCATCTGTCGCCTGAGAAAAAACACACAAAGAGATACATATAGTGACAATATATCCTAACTTGTAGATGTCAGTGAATCCTGAATTGAGTGTTTCCAGACAGGTTTCCACATTTTTGTTAACACTCGTACGTCTGTTCTACATCTCTGACACATTCAGGATATGTCAAATATAGGGCTGTACAATATATTATTTCAGCATTAATATCGTAATGTGCAAATCTACAATAGTCACACCGCAGAATCTGAAATGTCAGGTCAGTTATAGATTATTCACCCATTAGGAAATTTGAGTGGGATTACAGTTGACCAGGAACCACATTTAACCTTAAAATGGTTAATGTTTTTCATATGCTTGTTTTCTTTGTTTTTAATGCTTATGTCACTAGGATTTTAAAGTGTATTTAAACCATTTTTTTTCAAGAAATTATAACATTAAAAAATGTTAATTGTTTATTTTATTATACAACAAAGAACATGAAGTGTTATTTTTTGCATTTGATTATTTACCTTCTGTACCTGAATACAGTTAGAATTATTCCAGAAAACCATAAAAGGCTATAGGCTTAATTAATGCTGTTTATTTGCCCTAGGAAATCATCCCAATCAATATAAAATTATCAATTCTTTCTAAATTGAGCTATACAAATCCTGAGGAGAAACTATATTCATTTCGCAATATATATAGCAAAAAAAAAAAAAAAAAAAAAAAAACATTGGCAGTTTTATTTTCAATATTGCTCGGTCCTTGTTTACAGGGTTTCTGCTGTTTACACTTAGTTAAATTTTACATATTTTAAAACTTTTTTTAAAACTTAAATTTCAGACTTATCCAGGGCTAAACACTAAGGATTCTTTTTCATGTGGCCAGTGGGAAAGATTTTAAAAAAATAATAATTAGTTCTTTCTTAGCCACATAATTCAAATAATGCATGAGAACAAGCCAACTCTATTTATATAAATCTATATTTTGTCAGCATAACCTTTCTTTTAAAAGAGACAAGTTTTAAAAACTATAAAAAACTAAGTTTATGCACAAAAGACCGTCTAGGCCAGGGTCCCCAGCAGACAGCTATAAATACATGTATAACTTTTAAACAAACATTTTTGTAAGGATGTAAGAGAGAAAATAAAAACAAATTGGAATATAGAGTTGATATAAATGTAACTTTTGTTAAAAGTTTTATTGTGATGGACTGTTGGTGATTGGATAAGTGTTGGCTTCATCGGGTAGCTTTACATGGATAAAGGAAAATTAAGACCTGTTTAAAACAATCTAAGACCTACAACAAAATATCTCAGTGAATTTAGGACTTTTTAAGGTCTAAAATGTCATTTTTTTAAATGTAACACATTTTAAGACCCTGCGAACACCCTGGTCTAAAAGCTCACATGTGACTCAAGCAAAAAGAAATAAAACAATCACCATATTACCAATACTCCACATTATTAAACACACTCAGAAATTCATTTTGGTTTTCTTATATTTTCATGAGAGATTCCACACAGCTTCACTAAATGTATTTCCATATTTGCTTGTCTGATATTTTATAAACGAATACTGTGGGTCTCATGACCTTTTGCAAGCCAATGTAAAATTAAATAATAAATTATTTCATTATTGTTAAAATAAATTAAAGCTAAATTAAAGGAAACCGTAAACTATAAACAAAAATGTTATCAGTGATGTGTTGCAGCTGCAAGGGCATCCGCTGCGTAAAACATATGCTGGATAAGTTGGCGGTTCATTCCACTGTGGCGACTCCAGATTAATAAAGGGACTAAGCCGACAAGAAAATGAATCAATGTATAAATAAACAAAAATATCAATGTTTTTATAGTGTCAAAGCAGTGTTGTTGTTAACTAAAATTAATAATACAATTATAAATTATAATAAATTAGATGACAAATTAGAAAAATGTAATCAATAAAAAAGTGCATAAAATTACAGAAATTAACAAAAATTTAACATCTAGAAAAATAATGTTATTTTGTCACTGAGATAAAAATAAAAGTTAAACAAAATATAATGATTAAAATCTAAACACAAATTAAACTGAGACATAAATAGCCAATTTTATAGAATGTATTTAAGATTTGCATTGTTTACATAGTTGATTGATTACATTATGATTTACATATGATTTATATTAAACAATAGTATTAATAAATGACCAAATGTATGAACATAATGTCTATAACACTTCATCAAAGTCCAAGTCACAGTATATCACTCTTAAAGAAATAAAATCCAAAATCTAAAAACATTCAGTATATAAAAATCATGTAAAAATTACTAAATTATTTGAAAATCGTATCTACTGTATCACTTTTTGTCTTAAGATGTGTATCATTCTTGCACTTCCAAGAAAATGTATGTTTTATAATGTGAACAGGCAAACACACACACACACACACACACACACACACACACACACACACACACACACACACACACACACACACACACACACACACACACACACACACACACACACACACACATCTCCCCCTGCTGGTCAGATCAGTCAAACTGTCCATCACAGCACAGATCAAAGCAGACGGCTGTTATTAGTACTGCCATGCCCAAACACACAGAATTAAACACTGATTCAGACACTCTGAGCACTAACTAAATGACCGACACGCTACAACACTACAGAACAGGAGGTCTCTAACAGCAAGCGGATCACATTCTCATTCATCTCAATGACTCTTGCTGTTACGCCATTGAAATTTCCATAATATTAGACTATTCTTCTGAGACCAGCATTTCTAATATTAACTACTCCATAAATGTCAATCTACAGCCTCCCAACTCCACTCTGACCATCAATTCTGACTTCACATTTTCCCTAAAACAACTCAAACACCATAGATTTATATTTCAATTCAGTAACTAAATCAGCATACTATCATCTCCAAAACATTGCAGGAATTAGATGCTTTGTTTCCAGTGAGAACTTGGAGAAACTTGTTCATGCTTTCATCAGCAGCAGGGTGGATTACTGTAATGGACTCCACAGTGGTCTTCCCAAAAAGACAGTCAGCTCATCCAGAACACTGCTGCCAGGATTCAGACCAAAACCAGGAATCAGAGCACATCACACCTGTCCTCAGGTCTTTGCACTGGCTCCCAGTTACATTCACAATAGATTTTAAAGTATTATTACTTGTCTATAAATCACTAAATGGCCTAAGACCTCAGTACATTACAGATATGCTCACTGAATACAAACCTAACAGATCCCTCAGATCATTAGAATCGAGTAAATTAGAAACTCCAAGAGTTCAGTCAAAGTAGGGTGAATCAGCTTTCAGCTACTACACCTCCCGCTGCTGGAATCAGCTTCCACAAATGATCAGATGTGCTCCAACATTAGGCACATTCAAATCAAGACTGAAAAAACATCTGTTTAGCTGTGCCTTCACTGAATGAGCACTGTACTACATCTGACAGATTAAACTATTATGTCTTTCTTTCCTTTCTTTTTTTAAGAAGTTTATTTATAAACTAATTGCAAGAGAATCACATGCGTATGATTGTTCACAGCTGGTCCCGCGGCAGCTCACGACTGATGCACCAATCAGATGATTCCTAACTCACTATAAATAACCAGAGTTTTCTTATCTCTGTACTTTCGTCTTGAAGAATTCCTTTAAAACCTGTTTTAACAAAGTTAAATAAATTTGTAATTATTTTTATTCTTCGTTTTTTTTACTCTTGTTTCTTTTATTCTTGTTTATGTGAATTACCATTGTGTATGAAATGTGCTATTTCAATAAACGTGCCCAAGAGCAAAGACTCTTGTTGATTATAACAGAATATCCTATTGTAAACTTTCTGAACCTTTCTATCTACAGTTGAAAGCAACACTATTTGGCCACCAGTGAACTTTCATTTATTTTATTTTTTGCTTAATGGAACAAGGGTATTTTTCCACAGCATTTCCTGCAATATCTTTTTTTTTTATACTGTATTGTTTTCTTTTAGTTTGGCTGGAATAAAAACTATTTAAAAAAAAACTTGTTTAAACATTTTTTTAAAGGGTCACGAAACACCAAAACACATTTTTTGAGCTGTTGACAGTTGTATATGTGTCCCACACTGCTAAAAACACTATTAGGACACCTATATTTCACTAAAAAGTGTAAATTGGTTGTTTTTGCGTTATTTCAAGCAAGTTCGTACTTCCTGTTTGAAACGAATTTTTGAAGCTGCGTCACGGTCATGACATAATAGTTTGTATTCCAGCGTGCAGACTGGGCGTCTGTGCCAGAGTGTGTCTTATTACGTCTTACAGCCTGCTGCATTAATGCATGAGTAAGGCTTGGTTCAAACCAATCAGCGCGCTCTATTGTGCAACTTTATTAATATTCATTACTGTCACAGTGTAGACGGCAAAGACGCCACGTTGTGTTGGCAAAACAAGCGTGAAGTGTTGCTTTTATAGTTTGCTGCAGTTAAGTTTCGTTTTCATTTTCTCTCTGTGAGAGCGCAGACTCACACGTGTACGCGATGCGCGACAACAATAACTTACGTGTCTAAGGAGGATTATTGTTTACCTGAGAGCTGTTCTCATCTGCAAACGCTGAGATCCAGATTGTAGTCTCCTCTAAATAAAGACGCGGCTCTAGTTGCTGGTGATTGTCCTGTCTCTACAGATTTGGTAAGTGAGCGACCAGTGCTCTTTGTTTATTCAGTTCGTATTTTATTCGTATCAAACAAACTATTGCACCGAGTGCAATAGTTAGCACTAACAGTTACAACCAAACTATAACCTCGTGTTGGATTTTGTGACCGGAATAACACACGTTTCTTTCTGACGCTACCTGCCGAGTGCATCTAAGTTTCCGGGAAATGCTGAGTTTTTTTTCTCTCATTCGCCATGCGGTACCAAACATTGCATAAAAAATACACGCTTAGAGCAGCGCCTCGAATCAAACATCACGTTTGTCGGGAGGGACATGAATGAATTCCCTGAATGAAAGAGCCAAACTGCAGTTAAAGTCCACCATTTAATAATTTGGCAAATAATTCGACTACAGATGTCCATGTAAACACAGTCACATTGTCCGCTGTGGGTGTTTGTTTTGACTCTGAAATACAGCGCGCCCAAATAGACACTCCCACACCAAGCCTCATTTCTTCCTCTGACACTCCCCCCTAAACAGAGCTGGACACGCCCACTTTTCTGACTTTTTCCAAAGTAGAGGTGTGAAAACACACTGCTGAAACGAGGGGGTTTCATGGCCCTTTAAGGTCAATACCATTAGGAAGCATTTCTTCTCGATTGGCTACAGAAACAAACCACTGTTGTCCAATTACTTGCTTAATTAACCTAACCTAATTAACCTAGTCAAGCCTTTAAATTTCCCTTTAAGCTGAATACTAGCTTTTTGAAAAATATCTAGTAATATGTTATGTACTGTCATGAGGGCAAAAATGAAAAAATCAGTTATTAGAAATGATTTATTAAAGGTACAATGTTTAAAAATGTGTTGGAAAAACTTCTTTACGTTAAACAGCACTTTGGAAATATTTGTAAAATTATTGACAATTCATAATAATAATTTGAATTATTTGATTAGAGCACAAAGTGATAACTAGTTATAAGCTGCAAGTTTATATCCACTTTTAGTCAACACAATATCAATGTTTTAACTACAGAAGAGTTAAGAAATCAATATTTGATGAAATCATTAAAGAATCGTTTTAAACACCACACTACTTCAAGCTGAAAATCTTCAAATATTTAAGCTTCTACAGCTTCAAACTTCCAAGCTTGGGTTTTTCTCAAGTCTACTTCAAAGTGTGCCTTGACCAACTTTTTAAAATCTAGTTGTGACTGGTTGTGCTTGATGCATCTGTGTAAGTTTTTTTTTTTTTTTTTTTTTTTGTCTTTGAGGGAGAAAATGGAGAAAGTTGACTTTACAACCCCCTCCAACTTTTCCACCATTTCTGTCTATTCAGCAACATAATATTCAATCAGATCATGAAGAATATCCCAGTTTACTCTGAAAAACATCAGTTTTACAAGTGAACAGCAACTCCTCTTTCACTGTAACAATTATGACAAAGAGTCAAGACAAAAATATGCTTATATTGCTTATGTTGCAGAAATCTGATTTTGCATATCTTCATATCTTCGTTTATATCAATGTGAAATATAAACTCATGAGACACTTGGCTTTCAAGGCATTTTTCTAGGTTATTACAAGAATGTTTTCATGTGTTTGTATATGAAAAAAATAATATGTAACACAGTCCAATTTTTCTTTCTTATTACTTCAGCTTATATAACCTTTTTAAAAGAAAATATAAACTGGCTAGATGGACCATAGTAAAGCTGAAAGTATCTTTAATTCAATGATACCTAATGTTTGCTTGAAGCTCACTGGGGTCAGGGACTGTTACTATTTTCAGTTAGGTAGGTGTTCAGTTAGGGGGATGCTGTCTAACAGGTTAACTTATTTTGATAATTTTTTTAAGTTCTGCAAAGTTTAACTTTAGGTCATACTAATTTTAACTTAATATTTTTAGTCCATTTGACTAAAAAGTTAATTTGATTTATAATGCATCGGGAAAGTTTTCATAGCGCTTCAGTTTTTCCACATTTTTTATGTTACAGCCTTATTCCAAAATGGATTCAATTCATTTATTTCCTCAAAATTCTTCATTATGGGGTATTGTGTGTAGAATTTTGAGAAAATAAATGAATTTAATCCATTTTTTAATAAGGCTGTAACAAAAAAAATGTGGAAAAACTGAATCGCTATAAATACTTTCCGGATGCACTCTGAATTATTTTAATAAGATAATCAGGTTTGAATTAACATTTTTAGTCCGTTTGAGTCACGTTAAGTTGAAATGACTAGAGAAGGTCATTTGATTTAACAAAAGAATTAAGGCAGCAGGATTTTTTTTTACAGTGTTCTAGTCCAGTGGTACCCAAAGTGGGGGTCATGGGACAATGAGAGGGGTACGCTTGGTGATTTCAAAAAGTCAAATAAAATATATTAAACTATTAAAATTACGATATTTTACCCATAACCAATGTAGCGGTTAATAGTTACATAAAAAAGCAAAAACATGCAAATAAAAGCCATCGGCCTTTCAATTTGTTTTTTTCATGGGATTGCTGTTTACGTTAGATTAAAAACACAGCAATAGCTTCAGCTGCAGCAGATTACTTTTATTGCACCAGGTTAAACAATCGACACTTTTATGGCAACCAAATAAATTACATATAAATACAGGCCACAACTGAACATTGAGAATGATCTCTGATTGGCGGTCTCCAAAAGTTTTTTGAGAAAGTTTTTTTTTTAAAGTTACAATTTTTTTTTTTTTTTTTTTAAATTTAACGCCTTACAGATGAGGGAATACGAAAAATGTCATTATAATGAAATTATATATAAAAAAAATAATAATAGTAATAATTAAAATAAAATATTAAAAATAAATAAATAAAAGGTTCTGCCATCATAATTACTTTTCAGGGGATACATTTGTACATCAAGTTAAATTGTGTTATATTGTAGTTACCTTATATTACAGTGGGGATAGTAATCTCTAAATATACATATCTAAATATGTTGCAACACTTTTCCACCTCTTCAGAAAAATATCAAATGAAAGTCTTCATTTGAAGACATGCAGTCATTTTTTTTCCATTATATTGACCTGTTTTTTTTTTTTTTTTTTTTTTTGCTTCTTGCATTTAATGTTATGTCTTATTTGGAAGAACCTAGACATATCTTTAGATGAAATAAATTTTTCTTGGAGTTGTGAGAATGGTTTAATTTCTTTTCCAACGAATAACTGAATTATTGTTATAAGTCTTTTATCTGTCCATATTCGAAATCCACCATCCAACACAGATGGGAGAAACTCAATGTTTCCTACTATAGGCATGGCCCTGGATATAGATTCTGAACCTCCGAATTTTTTTTTTTAAATTTTATTTAAAAATTTTAACGTTTGTTTTATGCATTGGTTATTGATTATTATTTAGATTTTTGTGGCCTGTTTTACATTTATAAAAGGTAGAATGGAAGGCAGTCTCCAAAATTAAAACAAGAATAGAATTGTGCTGAAAACATTGCTGCTGAAAACTGGTCTCTTTAATTGAGGTTATATTAAATTTAACAAATTAATAAATGACTATAAATATTATATGGTCATTAGACTGTTTTTTCTATTGTCAATATTCTTGTGTTTATAAAGGCTTATTGTTGTGTGCGCAATGTTTGTATATTTATATTGTACACCTCCTAGGAATTTGGGGGTTGCGAGCCACTGGCATTGTTATTCTGGGGGTCGCGGGCTGAAAAGTTGGGGAACCCCTGTTCTAGTTAATCCTCAATTTTGTATATTTTTCAAATCAATCGCCACTTGATGTTTCTCACCCGGGCTCGGATGACCTGCTGCGGAGCCTGTTCGTTCTCCATGAGTGAGCCTGTGTACGCCTCCTTCTGGAAGACCGGAGCATTGTCGTTTACATCCATCACATTAATGCGGAGGCGTCCTGTGGTCTCCTCTCCTCCTCCATCCCGGGCCAGTATGGTCAGAGTGAAGCGCCGCATGAGCTCATAATCCAGCCGACCTCTCAGAGTCACCCAACCCGTCTCAGCATCCAATGAGAACCTGCGCAAACCAGCCACCATCAACCAACTAACATGAGCAAGATGATTAAGAAATTATAGCAACTAGTCATTCAGAAGTTTGAAAGTGCTGGATCATGCAGGGGATGTGTCCAGTATTGCATAATACATTAAAATTGTTGTACTTTTATCGTTGTTTATAATTTTCTTTCAGTTTTAGTCATTAGAAATGTAGTCATTGGACACATATCCACTTGTTAAGACATGACGTTTGGAATACTGTTTCCGGGTCTAAGCCACTACTCATCTGAATTGATAAAATATTCATTCATGACCTCTGTTTAGTCATATCACACATTAAAGGGAATTTTATATAAAATCATGGCGTACACAACCGTCTCTGTACATGCTGCATCACAGACATCAATATTTGAACAATTTATAAACAACTAATCACTTTCTGGCCATCAGATATAATGCGATCAGGATTTTCAAAAGTATTACATTGCTTTGTAAGCTTTTATTATTAGCATTTTTTAGTCTTCCCTTACAGTTTGATAGAGCATTTGGACCCGGAAAATGCTTTGTGTGACGTCACACTTAACTAGTGGATAGGGCTATGGAAATTTAACTACATAATCTGATATTTTTCCCCCGATTACAATTAGTCAAAGCAAACAAATGCTTTCATTTGTTGTGACTGAAAAATGGGGATATGTGTGTATATATGCTTGATTTATTTTCAATTTTAGTAATTAAGGACCTCAACTGTAAACTTATTGTATTTAAATCATATATGAAGAGTTTAGATGCAAAACCTCTAAGTGATGTCTTGCCTTTTCTTTCAAAATGAGTATTTTCCTCAGCATCCTGTGTTAATGTTGAATTATTTCACTTTAAAGACAATGAAAACAACTGATTTATTGCCATAAAACTAAACTTACTGAACATACACAGAGGATATATTTATATTTATATATACATACACATAGATTTGAAATCAGAACTATTAAACCCCCTTAGAATTTTTTTTCTTAATTATTTCCTAAATGATGTTTAACAGAGCAAAGATTTTTTCCACAGTTTGTCTAATAATATTTTTTTTCTTCTGGAGAATATCTGCTTTGTTTTGTTTCAGCTAGAATAAAAGCAGTTTTGAATTTTTTTTAAATACATTTTAAGGTCAAAATTATTAGCCCCTTTAAGCTATATATTTTTCGATAGTCTACAGAACAAACCATCATTATACAAGGACTTGCCTAATTACCCTAATCTGCCTAGTTAACCTAATTAACCTAGTTAAGCCTTTAAATGTCACTTTAAGCTGTATAGAAGTGTCTTGAAAAGTATCTAGTGAGATATTATTTACTGTCATCATGACAAAGATAAAATAAATCAGTTATTAGTAATGAGTTATTAAAACTATTATGTTTAAAAATGTCTTGAGAAAATCTTCTCTCTGTTTAACAGAAATTGGGGGAAAAAATAAACAGGGGAGGGCCGAATAATTCTGACTTCAACTGTATAAAGAGTTCAGATGCCTCTCGCATTTTCTTCCAAAATATTTTTTTCAGTTTTTTCTCAATATATTTCTTCTGAGTATTTTTCTCAGCCTTCAATGTTTATGTGGAATTATTTCTCTTTAAAGGCAATGAAAAGAACCAATTTATTGCCATAAAACTGAAATTGCTGAACATACACGGAGGAGATTTTTTCCTCCCATCAGAATCTAAGGCAGTGGTGCTCAACCCTGTTCCTGGAGATCTACCTACATGTAACTGCAAAGTTCACCTTCAACCCTGATCAAACACACCTGAGCCAATTAATTTCGGACCTGAACAGCACTTGATAATTACAGGCAGGTGTGTTTGATATGGGTTGCAACTGAAATCTGCAGGAAGGTAGATCTCAGGGTTGGTCACCCCTGATCTAAGGCAACAAACACACCAATTATAAATTTTTATTTAACATTTTGGTTACTGTAAATATTAATGCATTATTTAGAATAATTTACAATTTACATATTTACTATTAATTAATATTTTGATTTAGCTTTTATGATAATTAATATTAATACATTTTCAACCCATAATAATTATTGGTTGAATCCAACCAGACACAGGATGTCAACATGACATCAGATTGACGCTGTACCCCAACGTCATGGTACATTTTTAATTTTTTTTTCCCAAATGTAAATCGGGTTAACATCAAAACCCAATGTCAGACCAGCGTCAATGTCCAATGTCGAACAGATGGTTACTTTCCAACACAACCTGAAAACAACTAAATATCAATGTCTAAGAGATGTTGTCTTTCAGAAGAGAAATTAAACCGAGGTTCTGACTCTCTGTGGTCATCAAAAATCCCATGGCACTTCACGTAAAGAGTAGGGGTGTAACCCTTGTGTCCTGGCCAAATTTCCTCCATCGGCCCTTACCCATCATGGCCTCTCAATCATCCCCATACACGGAATGGCTCTACCACTGTCCCTCCACTCCCCCAATAACTGGTGTGTGGTGAGCGCACTGGCACCTTTGCACACTGGTGGTGGTGTGGAGAGGCCCCCTCTCATAATTGTGAAGCGCTTTGGGTGTACGTCTATACACAATAGATGCGCTATATACAGTAAATACGCATTACATAACATTACATGTTAAAGCTTGACATTGTGTGGACAATACCACTATCAGCCGTTGGATTTTAGTTGCCATACCTGATGAATAAATGTCAGTATTATGATGTTGGTTTAATATGTTGGATTTTGGTCACTTTCCAACACAACCTATAATCAACTAATCAAATCAAATATCGATGTTATTTCATGTTATTATTGGACATACAAATAACACCGTCCTTAGATGCTGGCGACTTAAATCAAACCTAATATTACCATCCTGATGTTGTGTGTCTGCTGAGAGGCTTTTGTTGTTTTAAGTTTTTATTAATTTGTTTATTTTTAAAAAAAATGATTACTAATTAGCTTTTCATTTACACTTTCAGTTTTAGCCAATTTAATGCAGAGTGTTTGAATTTCCACACTCAAAAAAATCAACTAGGCATGTATTGGATTTACAAAATAAAAATTTGTCAGATTGAAAAGAATAAATCAAGTTTACGTATGTTAAATGACTAATTCATGTTATTTGAAACTGAATCAAGAAATAATCAAATGAATTTGATCAGAACATGTTGATTCAATGAGACTGAGACGCTTCAAATTGACAAATCACTGCATGTTTTCGGCACAGTTTGGGAATTGGTTTTCCCAAGAGCTTGAATGTTATGCATGTTATGTTGTTGGCTAAATGTTTCTTATACATTTTATATTACATATTACAATTTTGGATATTAAATAACATTTTGTATCAGAATATTAAAAAAGAAATTTGTTTAAATGTGATTGGTGCCTGCTAAAGGCTATAATAAAAGATATATATATATATATATATATATATATATATATATATATATATATAACATGTTTTCTGTCCTTTTTGTGTTGAATTACTTAATTTTAAATCTTGCTTCATAGTATTGTAATTTAAAAAATGTAATTTAAACAACAGATGGGTTGGGGCTGGAAGGGTATCCGCTGCGTAAAAAACTTGCTGGATAAGTTGGTGGTTCATTCCGCTGTGGCGACCCCGGATTAATAAAGGGACTAAGCCGACAAGAAAATGAAGGAATGAATTTAAACAACAATATTGAACAAGAAATTTACTAGCTGACTTAACAAGACATAATTTCGTTAAAGTAAAGCTTTAGTGTTACATTGAGTAAATTAGAATCATTTTAATTAGAATAACACAATACAAACATTTTGAGTCAATTAGTTGCAAAGAAGTTAGACTGACATATTGAAACCATGTGTTATCTACAAATGTGCTTTGTGTTCATACAACATGTTCAAAGCAGTTCAGGTTTACTTGATTGGATTAGATGCATAAAGGGTGACACAATTAAATCATGTTAATTCAACATTTTTTTTTTTTTTTTTTGAGTGCATAAACAAATGTATAAATGCATGTATAAATATGTCTAACTCCTGAACAAAATAAACAAATGAACTACAATGTTTGCATTTATAAATAACTTTTCCTTAAAAAATAAAAAAGTAAATTACTCATTTCATTACTGAAATAAGCTAATAACTGCATGCTGCTCAACAAATGATGTGCATATCGTAATGTCATGAGACATAAGCCTAATGCGTTTTAAAATATGAATTGCTGCAAGAAGTAAAGGCAGTAAACACTATGCATTGCAAACACAGCCACAAAGCAAGCAGTCTACAGGAACAGAAGGGGGAAAGCATGCAAACCTACAGAGATGAGGATTAAATGAATCAGAGGAAATGAATGAATTAACCAGGATGCTGTATCAATGTGAAAGGTCACAGTATGTTAATGAATGATAATCTCACTGGTCTGGCTCATCGCTGAAGTAATACCGAACCACTCCAAACGTGCCAATGTCATTATCCGTGGCCTGCAGAGAGAAACACACACACACAAACACAAACATGAGCATCTATGAGACACAGTGGTGCTCGCTCTGCATGCGAATGTGTGTAAGTCTTGAGTGTTTTAATATTGAGATGATGGTGTCAGCATAGCCTGTCCTACCCTACAAAATACTCGGTTCTGCACGATTAACACCGACACACACACGCACACACAGGATCTGAGCTCACAGCAGATGGGCTGGCATGAACCGCGCGCCCCGTCCTCTACCCCGAAACAACAGCAGCTTTAACTTCACCTTCCTCTCCTCTAATGTCAGATCCACCTCTACAAAGAGCAAAGCTTTAAAGCAGGAGAAAGTAAAGATGAGTGACAGCACAGAAGTGTTTTCTCTGACACGTTCAACCTCATTCAAGAACACTGATTTTCCAGCCTGATCCCACGAGGAAACAACTATTTTACGTTTTGTCAGTTTAGTGGCTAATTTGTACAAATTCACGAGTTGTAGTATGAAAATAGACATGTGAAAGATACTAAACCCAACCATCATTGGAGAATGAGCAAATTGTACTAAATCAGGGGTTTTCAAAGTGTGAGGCGCCCCTCCCCTGGGGGGCACCAGAGCATGTCAGGGGAGGCGCAGGAAAAAATATAATATAATAAAAATATAATTATTAAGTTTAATTATTATATGTATTTTTTATTACATTTAAACGTTTTAATTAAACAAAGCAAAAAAAAATAATACGTCAAATATAAGAAAACCTTTTTTACCCAGAAGGCCATAGCTGTGAATTCGCTTCTGTTTGGCAAGCCCGCCAATACAGGTATTAGCCCGCCTGCTAGTACAATAGGTCGGTTTCTGAGACCCCCCCCCGATTCAAAGCTGTAATGAAGTTCAAGGCCCTTTGGCCGCCGGGAAGAAGGAGGCGGAGAACCGAAGCAGTTTTAAAGTGATTTATTAATGACAGTGACGGACGGCAGCTCCTCACGGAGACTGCCGTCAAACTGAAAGCAAAAGTAAAATATGTCCGGGTCCGGTCCTCTCTCGGCTTCCTCTGCCCACATTCCTCCTTTTATGATCCAGGGCTCCTTCCGTGGGATCTGAGGCAGGTGCGCACCGTAGGTGTATCCACTTACGCGGTGGCGTCACTCCATCCCACGGCTCTCGGCCACGCCCCCTCGCCACAAAAGCCTTCAAGTTCAGGGCTTAAACCCAAAAGACGACGATATGATGATCAGTATTTGAGTTTAGGATTTACGTGGACAGGACCAACTGATGAACCACGACCTTTATGTGTGGTTTGTCAAAATATTTTGGCTAATGACAGCATGAGACCCACTAAACTTCGACTGTTTTGACTGGGATGGACAGTTCTTGGATCTATTCTATTCATATTGAACCATCATCCTAGTTTTAAAAACGTTATATTAAAATACTTGTTATTACTCTGTAAATAATTGCACTTTCTTGCAAATGATAATAAAAGTGAGTTAACCGTCTGACATCTGTCTGTGTCTTTATATATACTGTATATATATATATATATATATATATGTGTGTGTGTGTGTGTGTGTGTGTGTGTGTGTGTGTGCGTGCGTGTTTGGGAGGAGGGGGGCGCCAATGGATAAGTTGTGTCAAAAGGGAGGCCCACTGTCTTAGACTTTGAAAAACCCTGTACTAAATTGTAAGAGAGATTGTACAAATTTATAAGAATTAGCCACTAAATCAAAAAGTTATGAATTGCCGTGAGACAGCGTTGGACTTTATTTGCAGTTAAAAAAAAAAGTGTGTTGTAGTTCACTTGTCCTAAGCAAACAAACATTTTGGTTTAATTCTGTAATACTTGCTGCTTCTATGTGTTTACACATAACACACTACCAATATTTTATTTCAGATTCAAAAAGATTGTATATTTCTAACTATTATTTTATATACACTACCTGACAAAGGTCTTGTCAATCCCAGTTGTAAGAAAAACAAATAATAACTTGACATCTAGTTGATCATTTGGAAAAGTGGCAGACGGTAGAATAAAGAACCCGCCTGGAGCCAAGATTCTGACAGAAATCAGTTTGATGAAGGAAAAATCGTGGTTTGGGGTTACATTCAGTATGAGGGTGGATGGCAACATCAGCAGCCTAAGGTATCAAGACATTTGTGCTGCCCATTACATTACAAACCACAGGAGAGGGCAAATTCTTCAGCAGGAATGTTCTCCTTCTCATGCTTCAGCCTCCACATCAAAGTTCCTGAAAGCAAAGAGGGTCAAGGTGCTACAGGATTGGCCAGCCCAGTCACCAGACATGAACGTTATTGAGCATGTCTGGGGTGAAGGAGGATGAAGGAGGAGGCATTGAAAACGAATCCAAAGAATCTTGATGAACTCTGGGAGTCCGGCAGGAATGCTGTCTTTGCCATTTCAGAAGACTTATTGTTAGGGTATTTGAGTCAATGCTGATATGTATGGATGCAGTCCTCCTAGCTCATGGGAGTCATGCACAATATTCATTATTTTTCCACTGCAGCATTTATATTCTATACTGTACATTATTTCTGTTAAGTGACTTTTGTCTAAGAAAAGTCAGACCTTACTGTCCTAATTAAATAATTTAAAATCAAGGCATGATCATATTTTATTTTGGTAAAATAAGCATAATCTAGTGGCCTTTGCCTTTCTTATAAGCCACTTCTGATACCAAATGATCAACTAAAAGTCAAGTTATTGTTTGTTGTTCCTACAACTTGGATAGGCGACAAGATTTATGTCAGGTAGTGTATATTCATTCATTTTCTTGTTGGCTTAGTCCCTTTATTAATCTGGGGTCGCCACATCAGAATGAACTGTCAACTTATCCAGCATGTGTTTTACGCAGCAGATGCCCTTCCAGCTGCAACCCATCACTGGGAAACATCCATATACACTCATTCATACTCGCACTCATACACTACGGTCAATTTTTGTATATCTAAATGACCTGTACCTCATGTCTTTGGACTTGTGGGGGAAACCGGAGCACCCAGAGGTAACCCACTCCAAACACGGGGAGAACATGCAAACTCCAAACAGAAATGCCAACTGACCCAGCCGAACCTTCTTGCTTTGAGGTGCACATGCTACCCACTGAGCCACCACATTGCACGGTACTGTATATATATGTATAATAAATAAAGAATCTTTATTTTCCCAATAAAATGTAATTATCTGTAAAATTAACTAGCTCTCTACTTGGGAAAAAATATATATATTTCTATTTGAGTTTTTATAGAACCCACTCCCAATATTTCTGATTCAATAACTTTGCAAATTGCAAATTATTATTACTTTATGCTAAATAAATATTATAAATACACCTAATTAGCACAACTGTACTATAAAATAATAAAAATATTGTAATATTTCAATATAAAATGTAATTATCTGTAAGAAAAGAAAATAAATGTATTTCTATTCGAGTTTTCACAGAACACTCACAATATTTCATATTCAATACGTTTGTAATTTGCTAATTATTATAATTTTATTGTTAAACAAATATTTTTAATACACACAAACAACACAGTTGTAGTATAAAATAAAGATATTTTATTTCCCTATAAAATGTAATTATCTGTCAAATTTAGCTTTCTACTTAAAACAAACTAAACACTCCCAATATTTCCACTTTAATAAGTTTGCAAATTACTAATTGTTATAATTTCATGGTAGATAAATATTATACATGCACATTAATAAAACAGTTGTAGTACATTAATAACAAAGAATAATGTCCATTTAATTAGTTGCTAAATATTTATCATTTTATTGTTAAATAAATATTATAAATACACATTAATAACACAGTGTACTACAAAATAATGAAGAAAGATATTTTATTTCACTCATTCATTCATTTTCTTGTCGGCTTAGTCCCTTTATTAATCTGGGGTCACCACAGCGGAATAAATTGCCAACTTATCCAGCATGTTTTTTTCACAGTGGATGCCCTTCCAGCTGCAACTCCTCTCTGGGAAACATCCACAGACGCTCATTCACACACACTCACGGAAAATTTAGCCTACTCAATTCACCTGTACCGCATGTCTTTGGGCTGTGGGGGAAACCGGAGCACCCGGAGGAAACCCACGCAAACGCAGGGAGAAGATGCAAACTCCACACAGAAAGGCCAACTGAGCCGAGGATCGAACCAGCGACCTTCATGCTGTGAGGCAACAGCACTTATTTTATTTCACAATAAAATGTAATTATATGTAAAATTAATCAGCTCTACATTTATTTCTATTTGACTTTTCACAGAACAAACTACCCATATTTCTGATTCAATAAGATTGCAAATGGCTAATTATTATAATTTTATTGTCAAATAAATATTATAAATGCACCTAAAAACACAGTTGTACTATAACCTAATAAATATAGATATTTATTTCACTTAAAAATGACTACTGATATTGTCATCATAATTTTTTACATTTACTGTCATTTTCAAACTGCAACCTATCAGATAGAATCACTTTAAAACTAATTCTGTAAAAAAAAAAAAAAAAAAAAGTATAAAAAAAAAAAAATATATATATATATATATATATATATATATATATATATATATATATATATATATATATATATATATAATCACCCCCAGGATGTTAATGGTAATATTATAAATGTCTTTACCATCACCATCGATTTAGTAGTGACTAAAGAATAAATTGATTAATTACTGTCAAATAAATCAACGAATAAACAAAAAATAATAATAATTTTGAACAATAGACATAACTGTTTTTCCTTTCTAAATGAATCCGTTTGTGTAAAAATGGAGGAAATATACCATGTAAATTCATTAGGGAATGATGAAACAGTATGAATGTGGTCATCAATTCAGTAGCGTTGTGAATACAAAATCTAAATATGTTACTTCAGTGAGTAAGTGTTTGCAGAAACCATAGTAACAGATGCTGAGTTTAGCATGCATTCAACATTACAAAAACAGCCCAAAATGGCAATGTATTTGATGATA